TAGTTATCTTTAATGTCATTGAGATAGACAACGTAAAATCATTCTGCAATAAATACGTGTATACTCAAATCTATTAATCGAGATAGATGAAATTATTATTATTATCATTATTATATAGATTAACTAAACAGACTTTTGATCACAGGAAATTCTCTGACAACCGATGATATAGTTAAAGTTCTGGGAGACCTTTAGGATTAATATTCTAAGGGAAACTTTATTTGTATCTTATTTATGTAATTAAGCTTTCACCTATAACATTTATATAGTGAAACATAGTTATAGGTAAATGTGAAGATTTTTCAAGATTACATAAGTGTGGTTTTGATATACTGGTAGCTTTGAAATGTGAAGTAAATTGCATATACCTGAACAATATAAACACTAAATCTATCATCATATGAAATGTTTTAGAAGCAGAATGAAAAACATAGGTAATCATTGCGTTCTAGCATGTTTAGTATGGTATAATGTGAAGAAAATAATGATTCTACTATGGAGTCAGTCAGTTAGCTACAACTTACAGCCAGGCACATATATACATCGGTTCAAGATTTCATGTCTCATTAGCATAGCAAGATGAACACAGGATTCATAGAAGTTGTTAATTCAATCATAGTAATATATAAAAGAAAGATTGCATATAAGGACATAGTACAGGAAGAAAGAATTAGTTCGTATAAAGAAATATATGAAACGATTTTAATCTCACAGTTTAAAGGAAGACAGAGAGTGTATACACCTACTTCATTGTGATCGATTCTGAGTCTCCAACCATTGGCTACGATAGTCACGCAGACCCCAACCAACTAATCTGCATCTACCAACATGACTAAGACTAGAAGTTAGTGACTTTGTGGACTGATGCTACATTTTAATTTATCCGCCCCTAACTTACTTCCAAACATTATTCTATACACAAAATAGCAAGTTGACTGAACATACGGACTAAACACCAGAACTTCATATTTCGTCAGTATGAAGTAACTAGTTATCTACACTACCTTAAGATGAAGAAATTACTATAACGACAGATGAAAACTAAGGGAAAAAGAGTGTATAGACGGTTTTGAGAAACGAATATAATTTTGAATTGTGAAATAAATATAATAGAGTTTCTTTTTAAGAAGCAAAAACATTACATGATATAAAGAGAATAAACTATGACCACAATAATGAAAGAATTGTATTTCACATTTAAATGACCTAGTTAACTTGATAAATATAAGAACATTAGTAATGTAATGTATTAGTATGTATTTATACAATAAAATACATGAACTGTGATAATGTACATACTGAGTAGTTTTCACGTAAAATAAAGATTAGATAGAATGAAACCTTTTAATCTATTCTTAGACTATAATAAAATCTAATTGTCCTTAAAAGTTACAAAGAATCTAATAATGAATATGAATATACAGTAATTTTTTAGAGAAATTTCCAAAGAACAACTTATAGTGAAATTTTAATCAATAAAGTTTGTTTTTACATTAATAAAAAAGAAAATACAATCTAATTTGACATGATACATTTATCATTTGAATGTGTTAAACTTAATCCAAACATATATTTAATGGTTAAGATCATGAGTCAGTTGAAGCTAGACAATGATGGAAAACCTGGAAGTATTGGACGGCCGTTTCGTCCTAATGTGGGACTCCATAGTATCTGCTCACTAGTGACTGACTTCAAGAGACACTCCCGGAGTTCTAGAGAGAAGTAGTGACCAGTGGAGTTCAACTAGGTCTGTTGTGAGATATCAACTCACTGAAGACAATGTTGGATGTGTCGCTTAATTTCGTGGATTAGTTGAAGTTAGACATTAACACTGTTGGATGCCAGCCGTGTCAGTGGTCTAGTGGTTAAACGCTCGCACGCGAGACTGATAGGTTCTGTGATCGAATCTCGTGGGGGTGGGTGGGATCGTGGATGCGTACTGCTGAGTAGTCCCATACTAGAATGAAACGGCGTTCTGGTGTTTTCGGGTTTTCCATGATGGTCTAGTTTCAAATGATTCATGATTTCAACTATTGTAATATAAGTAGCACTAAGAATTTATTCATTAAGACACATAGATATAATAAACATTTCTGTGCATAGATTATAGAGGTTTATTTAATTTAAAGTTAATTTTTATTACAACTTAAGATCAACTGAAGAAGTAATATAAAAAAAACAGAAATATTATATACATATTTCATATTAGTTTGTAAAAACTACAACAGTGTGTACTTACAACTTTCACACGATATATAATTTAGGTCATTATGATTCTATTTTCAAATATTTCCCTCTTTATTTGTTTACTTAATTATTTATAAAACATTCGTTATTCAATGTCCAACAGTTTTTATTATTTATAATTGCTAGATATATCTCTCTACAATAAAGATTATCAGATGATAGCTAATATCATGCAATAATATATTGACTATTATTTATTAAGGATAGATTGATACAGTGTGATGTATTTAATTAAGTTTGAACAAACTATTTTTAAACTAGGCGATAAATTTGATGAATTAAAACGGTTTGATTATATGAATTTGTTGCAGTGAATAGTTTATTAATCATAAATGAAAATATATTTAAAAATATATTCTAACTCAATAGAATAGGTATAGATCAATAAAATGTGGGTGTCTAATGGTAACTGTTATATCCTGATGAGAATAATGAATAGTAACTGGTGGAATCTATTTCTGGATTAATACTATACATGTATTTTCATTGTATAATTGTTAAGTGACCAAAATATTCATATTCGTGTTCCTCTTATCATAAGCATTATTTTAATCCATAGACTAATATTATGCGATTTACCATTCTTGAGTTATGTCCAGTCTATCAATTACAGCCTCCCACATTCACGGTCACTTTCGGCCAGATCTTGTGCAAATGTTATTTCCTATTTTATGGTACAATGTGGTCCGTTTAGTTTGTATATAAACTCAGTATGTTTGAAATACATGATTCATATCGCAGAGATTGAGATCGGTATTGTGAACTTAACAGTCAGGGTTAGGCAGGAAGAAGTACCTGTAAAGACTCTAGATTGCTTGTATGGGTTTTATGCATCATTGATGCGGTCAATAAATCACTGTTCTCTAATTGGCGGTATCATTACATTATATATTAATAGGGCACAATGCTACAAGTTATAACAGTTAACTCTAGTAGAACAAAGAAAACATAAATAGAAGAGTGACAAACATCGATGAAATACTGGCTTCATTTCAGTTAGTGTCTTAAAACTACCATGAAGAAAAATAATCTTATACGCCTATTGATTTTAATCACTGAGTTTGGAGTCAGTCACTGTTCATAGTCAGGTTTTAATTTGTTGGTTAAAGATTTTTCGTAGTACTACTCAGTTTTATGATGTGATAAAACTTCTGATCCAACTTAAATTCAATATTGTTCTTAAGAATGTGACAATTAAGCTTAACTGATTTTATTCAAACAAACTGTTCTTTAATTCTGGTTCAATCTGATTAGGATTGATTGAAATTTTGTTTTATAAGTAATGATGCTTTCATCCAATCAAATCAAATACATTTTTTTGTTCATTATATTAGAATTGATATTTAAGCCAGGAAATATTTAACTGATTAAAAAATACCTTACAAATAATTTGCAACATTTTTTATCAAATATTCTTCATCACTAATTAGTGTTTATTTATATATTAGTGGACCTGTATCTGACTCTAGTTAGATCGTATGATTATTGTTATTGAAATATACATGATGCCAAACCCTCGTATATAAATAAGTCAAATATGAGCATACATTTTGAATACGTATATTTCATACACTCATTGATCTGAACAGACAATCCAAGAATTGAAGTGAAACGAGACGAAACGAGATGAAGCGCAGCCGATAAGGCGAATAATCAAGTATTACTTAATGTTTAGTCAGATACAAATAAGTTACAGACATGTGTTGAGGAAACAAATACGCTTATATAAAAACAGACAATATTAATAAACGAATAAGTGACAAGGTCAAAATGTGATTCAAGAAGATGAACAAACAAGTTTGTCCGGAAGCTAGAATAACCCATGCAGACGTGATATGGCACTAAATACTATTAGCCTTTACTAATAAATCATCCATCCAGGGAATTTGATTTATCGGACATATATCGCTAGAACTAATCAACTGTTAAACAAGCTCTGTAAATTAATTACTACAACTCGGTTGCTTTGTGATGTAACGTCTAAATTATGTTCACAAAATAGGCTTACTGTAGTAATTAAGATGAAATGTAAGTTATTTGTGAGAGTATGCAAAAATCAACTGGTCGCAACAATTCATCTAGCCTAATGAAATGTGAGTTGGGAACTAAGTGTTTCTTATGGAACCTAAACCTTTACTAAAATACGAATTTTATATTGATGCAAATAACTGATCGTGTCCAAAGAAAATATTTAGTGGGATCAACGAACTTGTTCCATTAAATTAACAAGTTTTTATCAGTGCTTGTATTATCTTGTTAACCATGGAGTAATGAGTTATTCAATCCTCAATGGTTTAACTGGACTACACTATAACCTTTTTACCTAAACTATTTTAGTCTATATTTTAAAAAAGAATATTGGTAAGAATTGAGGTAGACCTCTAGTATTAAGACTGAATTCATATACATGCAGCAAATACATTCAAGTTAAGTTTAAAAAATTGGCAAAATACATACTAACATACATATATTCGATGCAGATTGGATACGTGAGGACCAGTGATAATCACTTGTTGCACAAGCTGGTTTGGATGAACTTGATGAAGAACCTATTATCCAGTGGTTGGAAGTCGAATATTTTAACCGCATAGTCGCTGGTCTGTTGTTACAGTGTTGAGGTGACTAGTCATGGTATAGAGTTAAATGGACTGTTGATCTGCGAGTGTTGTCTTTGAACAATAAACGTGCGAACTTGCAAAACCACAGTTAAGTCTGTTCTGTAAACTGAAAGCGTTCGAACATATCGATGTTGAGTTCAGCCCAAAACAAGCAATCCAATCGATTCTCGTTTAAATAACCAATTTAGTTAGCAGACTGTGAATACTAGTGTCACTGCTAGTTCGTAACGTTAATGAGTCATGAACTGCAACACACGAACATGACGGTGACTACCAGCGTAAAAACGGATTGCATCATGAACGGCTGAATGGAAAGTTAGTAAACTATATTGCAAATCGATCGACAGAAATTGACCGGGCACAAGTACCATATGATTTGATTCAGTAATCCAAAATATCTTAATCTTACAGATCAGTTATGGCATAAGTAGTTGGGTAGTGCGGATTCGAACTGCGTGGTGAACGTTAATTCACCGAAGGTTTCAAATACACCTTGATCAAGTGTAAACTAGCACAAAAACATAAATTGTGTGGTTCCTACAAACAGTCTCCAATAATACATTATACTTAGCAGTAGGTACACACTAAATCGGCACACTTGAATAGATTTATTCATGATACATCTGGCGATAAATACACATATTCTCTTAATTTTTAAATAACACAATTACTGATGGATTAATTTATTAATTATCACTTTATGTATATCATAAATTACAAAATAATGCAGGTAACAGTTTGAATTCCGCTTAAAAAGAAATAGATTAATCTAGAAAAGACACATTGTGGGGAGAAATCAAAGGTGAAGACACACATACACACATACTTCACTGTACAGAGTCACCGAAAAAAAAAATCAAAATATCACTTCCAAAATAATAAAAAATATTATATTAGACTAATCTTCGGGAAAGAGAGATTAAAAAATAACTAAGATAAGTAGCCTGTACAAATAATGAATTAGTCAAACAAACAAACAGAAAAATTTTCACGACTTGAAAACATACATAACAAATTAAACCTCTTCTGTTCACTGATGAACTGAGAAAAGTTAATGAGATTAGAAACTATTATAATAATACGAAACTTTTAATGTACTCTAGAAATATGGGAAATTACAAAGGTTGTTTTATTAGTATTCACAGGTAACTGTTTACATAATGATAGATTTTCGATAAAATTAACAATACTGGTATACGATAGATCAGAAGGATTCATTGGTTTACTTATATATAAATGATCTGAATCGATACGTACCAATTTACCCATCTCTCGATCTACAATATAGATGACAAATAATGAAATGAGTGTTTAGAAAAAAAAAGATTTTTACGACTTCAAAAAATGAGATTATTTGAATAAGTGATGAAACTATGACTGGATTGAATAACAAGGAAAATATTTAAAAGTTAGTTATTTAGAAGTTATAAGAGAGTTTTAGGTGAAAACAGATTTAAGTTTTAGATAAACAATTTTGTTTAAGCAACTTATCTAGGTTTTAAAAAAATACAATTGTTTTTTACTTTTTACAAGGGGTTGGATAATTAGCAACTGAGATTCTAGAACTAATGATCACTGACTTAGACACTGTATCTTACTAACTGCCTTCTCACAGTGGGTGTGTTGTTTACGTAATTAAGAGGACGAAAAGCGAGTGTTTGGTGCCTTAACTAGGTTAGTGGACACGGAGGATCCACCTAGGGGAGCTGGAAAACCCAAATTTCAAACGAAATGGAGTATGAACCTATTGTTGGTCATCGGATACCATGGGATCGCATCTCCTAACGTTGCTCCACTGTCTTGTGGATTAGACCTTTAGACCGAAGGCTAGGGGAATGACCGCCTAAGAAAACTATCTGTTTCCGTTTGGGCACCCGGGCAGTATTCCAGCCCTCACAAAAATCAAATGACGAAGTGTAGCGCATATATATTTGACGCCTCCTTGTACCAATGTTTATGTGTGTTTAAATAAATAAGTATCTAACATCTTACTTAGTTCAACTGGTAACATTTAGCCATAGCATTTACAGATTTCGGTCTGCTTCAACTTTCCTAAGTATCGAGAAACCGAAATTCATATTGTTGGTTACTATAGGGGCAAATTTTAATGCCATAATAACCTAGTATAATCATTAAAAGAGCTTAAGTCCCACAAGTCTATTAGCGAAGCAACTTCCGCTAAGGTAGTAGAGGTCTCTATTCTCAGTGATGTCACAAACTAATCTTTTTTTACATAACAGAATCAAAAGGTTGACGGAAACCAGTCGTAGTCTGAATGAAGCCATGTAATGGACAATTCTGAACTAGATTTTAATGTAGCTAGTTAGTCAGTGCTTGTATTCAATGAACTTAGAGAGTTCACATACTTCTACTTTATCAAACAATGTAAAACACACTTCAAAAGGATGAGAATATTGAAAACTTCAGATTGTCGGCAAAGCAACTTTAAATAACTTTATTGAATTGAAAGAAATTTACATGAACATAAATTAAGACAAACCTTTAACATCTTCAGGGACAATTAAAACAGACCAAAATCTGTTGATTGGTGTTACACGACTCTCAACCATAGATAAGATTTGTACTTTATGACTATATACCCATAGATTAAACCAAACATGGAGATCCAACAAATAGTTTGAATCTATAAAATAAAGAGGAGGCGGTGTAAGATATTTGAATTAAAATTACCCTTTCCCTACAACAGGATTGTCATTTTTTGCAGTCTGTTTGATGATGATGCTAATCAAATGCAGTCTTCTGATCTTCTAAAGCAAAAATGCAAAAATGTTAGGGATACAATTCTCTACCTCTGCATACAAAATGTTGCTTCAAGACTGATTTACGTCAATGTCAGAATTAATAATAGGGAGTGAAGAAATTGAGTGCATCAGCCCTAATAAATTGATGTGAGAAAGCTCCCTTAGCATTTTCTAATTTGCATCACTTGTTGCGTAGGCGAAATGTCCGTCTGCCAACCAAAGGACGAACACACTAGGCAGTTTTGCTATACTCTGTGGTTGTTAAAAGTAACCTTTAAAAGTAGAGGATATTCGTAGGTCACCAGAATTTGATGACAGATACGTCTGTAACATCGATCCAGTATGCTTAAGCTATTGAGTGAGCAATGCTGAGGTTAGACGCATAATACTAAGCAAGAGCGGAAAATCTATTGACGAGGTTGTGAATCTTCATCGTCTAGACATGTATTATACACATATGTAACTAGTGCCTACCTCGACAAGAGATGTTAGGAGGTGTAAGAGTAAGCTGAAAGAAAGCTAAGATGACCAAACTAAAACGTGGGACCAGTTCATAAACTAGTTAAAGTGAGCCGTATTGTTAGGAATACACTGATTGGTTAACGTCTGAGCAATTATCTTAATTGATGTTTGGAGATTGAGTGACAGTGCTCAAAATTGATCGCGATGGCGATGATTCATATTCACTCTATCTTCCCCTTAGCCCTTAAGTTTTAAAATTATCTTATACTCTTTTTTGTTTGTCCTGATAATTTATTCTTCCACTAAGAATCTTATAACCTATTCCCAATTTTCTCTACTATCACTAATAGTATTATTAACTCTACGATTCTGGGATTCGCCTTGATAATTTTACCCTGTTGTGTTAGTGTTGTGACAATTTGGACTGATGGTTAAGAATGTCAACTTTTACGCCACTTATGACTGACTCCACTATTATCGGTTAAATCATACAACAAAGTCGGTAGCAGTATAGGGATGAGTTTAAAAAACAACGGTTTATTAACGAAGATGTTTTTTTTCTAAGTTTATTCATGAATAGATTTGCAAATATAGGTGATACAGAGAGATTTATCACAAATCCATTTTCCTAACGAAATAGGCTTCCTTTGAATTTAAAATAATTAGTTCATAAGAGGAAGTTCAAAGCTTTGATGATTCTACTGGTATTCAGTGAATATAATTCTGATAGATTCGTACCCGATTAGAACAAACCGAAACTGATATCAAGACATTCAATAATAGGGTTGCTAGCAAATCATGGACAAATATCATGGCTTTATCTAGCTTCTAGTTTGTTATTTTGAATTTAAAATCAGAATGAATGTTTAATTACAAGTCTTGTATATTTTTAGAAAGATTTTCACACTAAAGATAAGTATTTGGAGAGTGATATTAGTAAATTAGTGAAATTTACTACTGGTCTTAATGTGATCGAACGTTTGTGTATTTTTAGTCGACTGTAGAATCTTGAGAGTACATAAAATCTCAATTTTAAATAAACTCAAAGATAACTACCGATTTTGAGTTTCGATTCTCGAAGAATTTTGTTTGAGTTAAGTTCCAACCTTGTTGACTCAAACTTCGTTTGGACACCAACACGTTACGATATTTGTCACCAACATACACTCACGTTATTATTGTTCTAGTGATTTTCCACAGTACTGACAACAACTACATTCGTTTTACACATCTTAATTTTTTTTTACACTGCATTTAATTCGCAAAATTAGCATATTTGTGAGGGTAGATTTACAGCATGTAAAATATTAATTTGCTGGATCTAACTATGATAATATGCTACTGATATCCATAGATATTAGTATGTATCACCAATCGGAAGTGGAATGCCTGGATGCGCTAGGTTAAGAAGATCGAAGAAAAGAGAACGAGAATAGAGAGTGATTGGTGTGGAAATGAAGGAACAATGAAGTCTGAGGCGATTGATGAGTATTTTGGAAGTGAAGTATTTACTGTATGGTTCTCAGATCTTATCAAGATATTCTGTAATGTTGTATTAAAATACATTTGGTTATCTCCACTTATGTTCTCGTTCGTTACATAACAATATTCGTTAATCTCGCTTTAGGAAAAATTTAGTAATAAGCTGATATTACTTTTACACAGTTTAGTTAGATAAAACCTCAGTAAATAAAAAGGAAACGAAAATTATTTATTATCAGTAAGCAAAATAAAAGTACGAACATACTTTTTTCAAGTTGAATAGCTTCAGGAGTAAGTGCCCATCGGAATGGACGACGATATAAAGTGTGCACCGATTGATTTCCTCTATGTGGTGTACTCATAAATACAACTGCTTGTGTACTGCTTGCTAATGTTTGGTAATTTACAGGATCTATTTTCGAACTATCGAATAAAGTGGTTAGGAATGATGCGTCACTACTGCGTTTGGACAGAACATCAGAACAACTAGATGAATAATACATACGATTTTCAAGATATTTATCAGACAAATTGGCGTTTTTATCGTCAACAAAAGACATAAAACTAGGACTCGATATATTTTCATTCTCCTGGTCAGTTTCGTGACAATACCATTTACAGGATTGATCGGTTTTAGAAATTGAGGATTCAGAAACAGACTGGTTTTCTCCACTTAAAACTGACAAAGCTGCATAAGTATGGGAAATGTGTGCACACTCTCTAGTGCTAGACGTGGTACATGGCTCAGAATGATCATTTTTCGATTGCTCGGAAGTACCATTGCTGACAGAATTAGCCAATCGAAGCATTTCTTTCACAAGAATACCTATTGATGTTGTTAGAAAATAGAATATTTCACAAATTTTAAAAGGGAAGTAGTTAATAGTTACTTCCAACTAGTAATATTCAATTAATGAATTGAAAAAATGAAATATATAAAACGATATACACATGGATAAATCTTCCTTGGTTTCCAATATGTACACACATTCTTACAAAATTAGAATCCATGAATTTGAAGAATACAAATTGAATTAATGTGGATCTAGACGACATAATACAGTTTGATTAGTGTATATAATAATAAAAAACAAACGTTGATACATATTCGTACGAATACGTATCTTGTTTGTAATATGGATTAACACTATTAGCTAAATGTCAAGAATCGCATTTATTCCACACTTTTTGTTTTTCATCGCAATCCCCTGTATCATTATGATGTGAAGTGTGAAAATTCTGATACATATACATTTTGTTATATATTGTGACCTGCCAATTGTTATATGTTGTGACGCGCGCGGATTAGAGAGCAGTGAGGGCAGCGAGTTATCGATCGGACCAAAGACGCGTAAACACGTAAGAACAGCCTAGAGTTCTGATTGGTCGTGCTTCCCTGTCTAGCCCAGCCAGTTGAGTCCAGAACACAAGTCAGAGCCTCTGCGATATGAATCATAATATTTCAAACATACTCTGTTTATATACCAAACAAACAGACTACATCGTACCATAAAATAGAAAATAACATTTGTACAAGATTTAACCTCCAGGAAATGACACAAATAAGTATTGACCAACAGGAAAATGACACGTTGGAAGAATATTGACCAATGGGGAAATGACACCATTTCTCATTCAGGAATAGCATTAGATAATTTCTGGGATATTTTCTGAATACTCCAACACATTTGTATCGGTATTCTCGTTGTATACAATATGACTGAAAGTATTCGGACCTAAAAGAACCATTTTTTATATGGTGCATGGATTGTGACTGACAATGGGGTCCAAGAAGTCTATTCGGAACTCGTTAGCTGGATATACCTGCATGTCAGTTTTGATATCTATACCGGGACCCTAATCCGATACCTTACTCTTTAAACATCCAACCTATTACTCACTGGGAGATTGAGTACAGATAGCTAAAGATGAATTGCAAATCCTGGGTTACAGTGATGACCACAAGCCATCAAAGCAAGCCACATGGGATACACATATGCCAACAAAGACTAATCAGAATTCAGCTCTCCATATCAACAACTGGGCTATTTAAACCTTATCAGCAATTTTTGTGCAGAAAATGTGATTCCAATCGATCCACTATTAATAAAAGCAGTGAACAAACTTTACATAAATCCATCATTTCAAGAGTACATTTTTAACCAACCTTTATATTTTCACGTTTATAATAATGTCTTAATATTAAGAAGTTTAGTGAAATTTGCTTGTTAACATACATATATACGTATTAATTATTTATAACTAAAAATGGTACTATTTATCAATTGAAAGCTCAACATTTCATTATTTCGATCCACACATATACCTTCTCCATATATATGAAATGGTGTGTCTTACAGTGAGTGTCGGTAAGGAGCGTACATTATACTTTGTATTTAATATAGATTATCAACATTGGAAAATGAAATACAAAACTAGGACCAAATTTAATAAGTTAATAAGTACGAGTTTCTTCTACATTAGATTTACTAATAGTAAGAATATATATTTTTAATCGTGATTGACGAGTAGACTTTATCAACCAGTGTTCGTGATAATTTTCACATTCTGGGGTATGTAAAAAATGATGAAAGTCCCATCAACCATAAGTGATCTGGTGTTTGACGAAATCTCAGCACGGTATTGGTTAGTATTTGTTAACTTGTCATTTATGGGGTAGTTGAAATGTCCGTCTGCTAACCAAGATGTGTATACAGTGCAGTAGTCCTCTTTATTATTGGTTGTGAGACATGGTCTATGAAAGCTTAGCTTAAGACATATCCAGGAAACAGGTTTTCGATCAAAGGTTTCCTTGAAATATTCTCGTGTTTCGTGAGGCAAATGCATGATCAATGTCAAGGTTAGGCATAGCGGTATCAAACAGAAGTGAGGAACCGGTTGCTGAGATTGTAAGTCTTGATAAACTGCGGTAGTTGGGACCTACGTTACGTATGCCTAGCCATAGAATACATCGACGGGCAAATCTTTACTAGTGTAGAAGATTAGGAGCGGCCAAACAAAGATATAAGAATCGGTCCGTGAAGTCACTGACTCCTGATCTCAATCAGACTGGTTTAAGAAAACTAAATGGATGTGGTTCGCACGATATCAACGACTAGTGGTTGGAAACGTTGGATATGATAGCTCTCAACTTTAGATAGAACTTCAAATAAAAGTACCTCCAAGAAACTTCAACTGAAAAGTGTAGCCCACAATATTATAAATGGATTTGTAATGGAGAAGTGAATTACATCATTATTACCACATGTGATGATACAGTTGAAGTCTGAATTGTATTAGAAAATATTTATTAGTTTCAACAATGGAACTGCTAAAACCCAATCAGTCCTTAATGATAATCGAATTCTACTTATCAAATTGTAACGTGGTCACTATTCTAGGTAAATCATTATTACGATATACTATCTTTGGTCTTGGGTGGTTGAAATTGACCGGTAGAAATCATAAAAGCTAGGTTTCCTATAAGATGTAAACCGTCAGGGATGTGTATAAATTCTCGATGGAAATGATGCTTTCTACGGAATTTGAATCTACATCACAGTTAGAGATAGAACCACTGAGCTATTAAAGTCCTAAATGGTTTCTCGTAAAACTGAGATGTGTACACTAACTTATGCAATATTATTAACTCCTTAACGTTTGCTGAATCAACGTATTGGTGATGTATGAGAACTAACACAAATTATATTTAATATGAATACTTCTAGCATAAAGGGATAGGGACATTTTTCCAAGCTAGATGAAATGCTCAGCCAGTTCTTAGTTTGAAAAAAAGCAACTTCATATAGAACAACACAATTACTCAACAGGTATTTTAGGACAATTCAGAGATGTTAAGTAGAAAGAAAAATCCTAAACCATTAGACCACAATTAAAACATCACTTCAATGGAATGATAGTAATAATAACTCCTTCATTATTCAGCAAAAAAAGAGTAGCAGTGAAATGACAAAATATGTGTTATTTCAACAACGAAAGATCAATATCATTTCATGGGGTAAATGAATTTGAATAACTATTAATCAGATTTCTCATTAAAATGGCTAACTTCGGATAAATTTCCTAAAGTTTTATTGAAAAGGAAGTGAAATGCGAAGTTATCCTTTGATGATATTGAGTGCAGTGAGGGGGGGTACAGGGGTTAAACTATAATCACAAAATGATAGAAATTAGGAAATGTAGACCTTTAGATTCCGAACCAGTACCCAGTAGCATTTGTTCTTGTCATAAACAGAGGAGTATTCAGTTAGAGTATCTAGACTTCCGTCATTAGGTTGTAGGTTTGAATCACACCGTATACTTTGATTTGGGCAAGCTTTGCATACAAACGATGTAGCTTAAGACTAAATACGTAAACCTGTAATTTAAAACAATTAGTCCTTTTGACAAATTTCGATAATGTAATGAGAACCTTCATCTTATCATTCCATTATCGAAACCTGTAAGGGACTTTAAACTGGATTCAGTGTAAGGTGGTAAGTACTCACCAGCGAAGAACCATAAAGTACATTATAACTAGTGCACTTAACCATCCACAGTTTCTAGTACTTACCTAGTTGATAACAGATTTTTGATAATAAAAAAATAACCACCATATACTACAACTCTGATGCTAATATTCATTTTTCCTAAAGTAACAAGAAATTAATTGATGAACGAAACAAAACAAAACCGGCAAAATATGAAAACGAAAGAAGTAGTGGAGAAAGAGTGAATTACCTCCAGCTGAATGAGTAATCCATATTATAGGTCGACGACCAACTTCTGCTTTTTTAAGTTGTTTCATTATATCTACAGCTCGCTCATCTAATGTACGCCTATTAAAACAAAAACAAGGAAAACGCATCGTACTACAGAGACTGATTTTCATCAAATTCTCGAGAAATAGAAAGTTGGATTAATAAAACATGGAAAATTTTGTTAATATACACAGTATATATTAGATCATTTGAATAAATTAATTGGATAATTATAAGCGTATATGTTAAATTATACAGCGAAGTATTAATCATACCTTACCATATTCTTTAAATGTTCTAAACAAAGCATCTAGCCAGTTTTGTCTTTCAATATCGGCAATAGAGGGATTAAAGAGTAGAGCAAAGTAATAGTGAAAGCTGAATACACAAATTTATACTTGGTGTATAAATGATACATTACAATAAGAGAGGAGATCAGAAATTAAGGGGATATCACCTTTTTAAATTACAACCAAAATTACTATTTTATCGTAAGAAGAGTAGTAGAAGAGGAACACCTATCAAGTTTGCTAACTCATATAAAACATTCATGAACGAAGAATAAAGAAACTCTAAAAACGTTAAGCCACTAACATGTAAAGATGAAGACGATAAAAATATTTACCGTTTTGTTTGAAAACAAACAGCTTCTTGTAGTAATGAAACAATAGGTTTTATATATGTTTGAAAAAAGAAAGAATAAATAAGCTCAGTTCCATGCATTTAGAAGTAATTTATGTACTTCATGGTGTTAAATAAATAGAAATTTATTATATATCGTTGATTTATTTTTAACTCATTCACCGAGTACTTGTACTTAGTTATGATGGTTGGTGATACTATTCAGTCGCCCTAACTGAAGTAGACGGAGCGGGACTGAGTGGGTGAAAGTTGAATATCTTAACCACTGAGCCACTGCCCCGCTGTTATATATATATATATATATATATATATATATATATATATTTCTAGTAATATCTTCGGATAAAAAGAAATTATTGATTAGAAGGAATAATATGCACAAAGCACGTTTATACGCATGTTTAGTGAATTCATTAATGATTAATAAAATAATAAAGCCAATCACTGAAGAAAGAAGTGTTTTGAGAGTAGGTCTATAACCTAACTTCTAAATATGAAATAAACCAATACTTCTTTAGGTTTCTACAAAAATGCGTTTCATTATTAGTTAAAATATCAGTCAATCAGTGTTAATAACATAAACATTGTTTGGTTGAGAGATTGGTTCAAATTGTAGGTGTTATTAGTCATAGATTAACTTCATTTGGAGAAGTTTGGAAAATCAAAGAGTACTGGACAAGCATCTAGACTTTGTATGAACTCCTCAACAATGCGCCCAGATGAACCGATCATGGTTCGAATCTAAGGACCCCAAGTCTTGGAGACGAGCATATTACCTTGAGATCATTGGATAGCTGGAATACTCTATAATCTACTCACTTGCAACTTCAGTTGATTCACGAATTAGCATTGACTACCCAATATTATTATTATTACATTATTCTTACTATTATTATCAGTTTGTACTAAAACTGAGACGTCATTGAAATTCCTAGCAATCAGACCACTACCAACCATTCATCAATGTATTAAGCGCATTGTGTTAAATCAAACATAGAAATAGCAATTTTAGTGAATTTTTCAGTTTTTGAAAAAAATGTCAGGTATTTCACCGATAGCTTTTTTAGAATTGCATTTTACACAGGAAAAGTATAATAAAATTTTATTAATCAACATTATTAACAGTAAATAATAAGGTGAAATTTTTTATTTGCATACCTAAGAAGTTTGGTATAGAATGCAATGGATGAATCAAAAATCTAATCTCAATTTTTCTAAGAAAAAACAAGTACAATAAGTAATTTAAAGTATGATTCAATCGTCAAGAGAATATGCGAATAATTAACTGAAATCCTATAACATTCAAGACAATAGTTTGAAATAAATGTAGATGTCAACTTTAGAATTTATTAGATATTTAGGGGGGGGGGGTCTGTCGATATAGTCGAACTGTTATACATTGCATCACAGACTGATCGTAGTTAGACATCAAATATCAGAAAGCACTGGAAAGCTAGTTCCGTCCTAGTACGAGGTACCAGAACAGTGCGTATTCACGACTCTATCGGAGATCAAAACCGGGACCTTTGGTTCGGCGGTGGGTGCTTAACGTCTAGACACATTTCAAAATCAGAAGTTAAAACATGGAGTTAAGAAAAGTCAATGGGATAGAAGAATTAAATGAGTACCTAAAAACATGTCAAGTTCCATATATATAGGATGATTTAATAAAGAAATAATGTGTATACATTACCCATTTTGATTTTGGGTAATATTACCTAATGTCTATAACTACCATATTTTTACTACTTTACAAAATTCAGAAAATAAACCTATAAATCCTTACTAACAGATGAAAAGTAAATCTATTGGAATCCAGTTCATCAGTGAACAAATACAGAGAACCAAAGAAAACAGAAGCTTGAAGTAGATTAAAACTACTCTAATTATCTAAACTGTTGAAGTTTAACTGCATCATTAAATAAACTAGCCTAATTAACAAAAAATCTAGTCGATTCACCGTATGAAACTCAGGAAAAAAACGATGATAGAATACCTACAATTTTTTTATTATATAATATTAACCTACATTCAAAGAAAGAAATTAAACAGTCAGAAGTGATAGGGAGTATGTAAGTTAGTATCTGAAAATGTTGATTTGTTTTGAAACAAAACTACGTTAACCATTTACACCTGAATATTGGTCATACGTAAACAGGATAAGATAACAACGAATAAGAAAAAGTGTTCAGTCTATGAAATTTAAAATACTTAAGAACTATAAAAAATAGTAACCAAGGTAGTTTCTTTTAGTTGTAGTCTAGTTAAAATGATAACTGAATAATAATAAATATAGTTTTTGTTATATCCCAATGAGTAGAAAAATTTATTTGAAAGTAACAAGTCCAACCTTGGCATTAATACCGATAATCAAACAACATGTTTAAGTTTAAATACTAAGGAACAAGATTAAAACCACACTAACTGTGAGAACTCATTACGTTATTCACATATTGAATTTATGGTAAATTAGATAGTGATCTATGATCTCAAGATATAGAGAAAAAATTTTTATCTTCAAAATGGTAAGTTTGAACTTGTCAATCACAAAAAAAAAACAGATCATAACAAGGATGTAATTTCGTGAAAAAAAGTCATTTAGCTTGGAATTATATACATTATATAAGCAAGAGAATAAATTTACCTTAACTTTTGAAGTGGACAAATTGGATGCCAAACAAATGGCTTCAATGACGTGTCAACACCAATAATTCGAGCTTGAGGAAATCGATGGGAAAGCCAGTCCTATAAGTTTTAAATAACAATACAATATTCATTACATCAGTAGAATAATTCCTTCAGTATATGGGTTTCCGGTGAAATAGACAGGAAATGGTCGATACAAAGAGATGTTAAAAATTATTTATCGTTTTGTGAACCGATCTATTTGTTATATTGACGATAATCTTGATTATCAGTTAGTTAATTATTGGTTATATTTGGTGAAATCTACCCTGTTGGGAGATATGTTTTATGAGCATCATTAGCACATTAGGAGAAGAGTGAGTGCATGTGTAAAAAGTCGAAAAATACGTATTTTATGTGTAGATAGGTTATTGATCGTCTATGTTTACAACCAATGGAAGGATAGATAAAGTTGAGGTGCAACATGCGTTCAATCAGACTCTCACGCACACTTTTACATGGTAGGTTAGTTGTTTAAATTACAGTAAGTAGGTAATAAAACATTCAATCGGCTTACTATATAAGCTTCCATTCAGAACATACATAACAAAAATGTTTATTTTTAAAGTAAATGTATAACTCGGTGTGGTAAATATGCGTTAAATTGAAACGACAGATCGTGCGATGATATATATATATATATATATATATACTTACTCTAGGCCAACATTTTGTATATTGAGTAGCATTGTTGGTAAGCATTGAATCGTGTTGTCTCCAAGTGTAGAAAACACTACCCAGCATACCGTTCACAAAAATAATATCAAAATCATAATCTTCGTTGATATTGCTACAGATAGAAATAGAAAAATGGTAGAGAGAAAAATAAACAGAGGAGAGAAATCATAAACAAATTAGGCATGTCAAGGGTAAATAACAGAAATATCAACAGAGAAATTCTATATTCAATCGTCAATACCATCTGAACAAAAAGAATGACAGAATCGTATGTAGCTTTTTTAGCCCATATCTTGACTGTTTTACAACTCTTTTGTAGTTATCAGAATTAAGTTTTCAAGGCATTAGAAAGAAAAACAGAATTGAAGAGTAAACTAACTAGCACCAAGTATAAGAATTCTCTATAGGATACACCTTTCGAAAATCTATGAATATTAGAGACATAAATAAAATTTATTTAGAACAGGAATGAGATCTTTCTCCTTATAATCAACAAACGAATTATTGGAAAATTTATCGGTATGAAAATGTTAATCACATGGAAGAATAATTTTAATACTATCTCTTAATGTCTTACATAGATCATTTTAGTGAATCAGTAAATTTCAACTGAATCAGTGTACAGTGCAAAGCTATAGTGGAAGTATGTTGCATAAAATAAGTGACCAATAAGTTTTATATACGATTCGATTTTTCAAATCAAAATATATTCACCAGTTGGTTGATTATGTATAAATCATTTAGATTTAAGGATATTCTTCATTATATTATTCACAAGTGATCACGATATATCACATGGAATGTATACTGCAGTAAATACCTTCAGAGACATTGATAAAGTAAACCTGATATTTAGCAAATACGAATGTCAATGATATAAACATTATATTTACTTATTTGGACACGTAAACATTGGTACAAGAGGGCACTAAATACAAATGCGCCACACAATAATAATGAGACCAGTAGTAATTATCAATGATTTGTGTGAGGGCTGTGATACTATACTACCAGGGTGCCCAGACCGAAGCAGGTGGTTTTCTTGAAGGGCCACACCCAGAGCCTTCGACCTTTAATTTCTGGTCCACACGACAGTGGAGCAACGCTAGGAAATGCAGTCCCATGGTAACCGGTGACCAAAGATTGGTTCATACGTCATTTGTTCCCTCAGGATACTGGAGCCCATGTGCACCATTGGTTTGGAATCAGGGTTTTCCAGCTCCCCTAGGTGGATACTCCGTGTTCACTAATCTGGTTAAGGCGGCAAGTATTCGATTTTCGTCCTCTCAATTTCGTAAACAACGCTACCACCTCGAGAAAGTAATGAGTAGGACTTCCCTGGCAAAGGCTATATACGCGTGGCCATGTGAGATCATTTTGAGAGGGAGAGTGGACTCTCCCCACTTTCGGCCGTACCAGGGCATTTGAGAGCAGTGAGTTAAATAACTTACTTATTACAGCAAAATTAAAAGTGTCAAAGTGATTCAATAAAGACTAACGGACCAAGGTTACAGGTTAGTTAAAAGGAACTATGTTTGGAAATCTGAAATTAGCGTTAGCACCTAGGTGTAATGATAAGCAGTCAAGTGAATGAATGCTAGGAAGACCCATAAAAGTGAATACTTATGAAGTTGATTGTTTTATTTTAAAAATCCAGAATGTTTACTTTAACCCTAGACATTTTTATAGATCATGATGCCTATTCTTCAATCTTTGCAATTTGATCAACTTTTAACATTTTATTAATTACATTTTGGTAGTAGTGTGACTTGCAGTACTTGTACGGACAGATATAAGTAGTATGTATCAGGAATAGAAAGTAGAATTCTTACGGACAGAAGTGGAAAATGTTAAGAGGAGAAAGAAAAACGGAAAGTAATCGAAATAACAACAGGAATAAAAGAAGGATGGAGTTTGTAGAGGATGACTCAAGGAAGATAGGCAAATAGTGCCTTTAATGTAATCGTCTCATATTTTACAAATACACTGTGATTTCGCATAATATAATAAATTGGTTTACCATAAATAAATATCCGTTTATTTTAGTAGTTTAAATGGCTTATAATGTGGTACAAGCTCTCCGTGACTGGACTTTAAATTTGGCGCAAAACTCCGATAGCCACTAATTTAAATGTGATTGGTTAGTTAGTACAGTATATTATTACCAATATTACTCGTAAGAAATAAATACTGAATGATGATAATTTTAACAACAGAAAACCTCCATATTATTCGAATCAAAATGTTTACGAGAAAAATAAAAATGTTGATCAGATGAAAAACTTATTGATTGATAACTAACAACATGCGTATAAAGGAAGTATATAACATTTCGGTGAAGTAAGCTGACAAATATTTACATGGTATAACCACCACTACTTATATGGAGTAAAACTATGCAACAATCGGATCATACTTAGCTATGCTATATCCAATAATGAGAACATACCAATGAAAAATGTGCAGAATAGATGGAATTGTACAACAAAAGTGTAAATTAGTCGTTAAATAGGCCTAATAAGGGAAGCAAACATGTGATTTGTGTGTTTGTGTGAAAAACGTAGTACGATCTTATAAGAACAAACTTATTATAATAAAACGACATCGTAATCTAGGGGAAAATGTGCAAACATATATTGATTATGATAGAATAGAGGAAAGTAGTCAAGTTTTATTATGCAAAATTAAACTTTTAGGAAATTATTAGCCGAAATAAGGAGATAGGACTAATAAATAATAACCAAAGTAAGGTTGGTAATATTTATTACATATTCGTAAAGATTCAGCAAGTTATATTCCTAACATGATCAATTTAAAATTGTGTTTGCTACTAATTCATCAGTCAGGTACATATTCGTAAACATGGCTTTGAGCCACAAACTGCATTGACCAATTAGTTGAATCATTATGTTTTTAATGATTTTGTACTCGCTTAGACGGTACATATACTAGCTCCCAAATGCCCTGGTACGGCCGAAAGTGGGGAGAGTCCACTCTCCCTCTCAAAATGATCTCACATGGCCACGCGTATATAGCCTTTGCCAGGGAAGTCCTACTCACTTCCTCCTCGTGGCAGGAATGCTGTTTACGAAATTGAGAGGACGAAAAGAGAACGTCCGGCGATTTAACCGGGTTGGTGGACACGGAGGATCCACCTAGGGGAGCTGGAAAACCCTGATTCCAAACCAATGGTGCACATGGGCTCCAGTATCCTGAGGGAACAAATGACGTATGAACCAATCTTTGGTCACCGGTTACCATGGGACTGCATTTCCTAGCGTTGCTCCACTGTCGTGTGGATCAGAAATTAAAGGTCGAAGGCTCTGGGTGTGGCCCTTCAAGAAAACCACCTGCTTCGGTTCGGGCACCCGGCCAGTATTCCAGCCCTTACACAAATCAAATGAGATTTGTGTGGCGCATATGTATTTAGTGCTTCCTTGTACCAATATGTGTTCAAATAAAAATAAATAAATAAATAAATTGAATGGCATAGTGTTTTGTAGTGAGTGCTACTGTTGTCAACAGATATAAGTAGTATGTATCATCAGTCGAAACTGAAATGTCTGGCAGCAGAAGGCTAAGAAGATGGAAGAAAAGAGAACGAGAACAGAGAGTGATTAGTGTGAAAACGGAGGAACAGTCAAGTTACAGACAAATGATTGACGTTTTGCAAATGAAGAATTTACTGTATGGATCTCAGATTTTACTAAGATATTCTGTAATTTTATTTTCAAATACATTTGATTGTCCCGATTGGTGTTCTCGTTCACTAAATTATATTTATGATTAAATAAGTGGTCATTCCATTTCACATTCCTATGTACTGATAATAGACACTGTATAAAAACAATATGCAAAATATGTATATAATATTGATCACAGATTGACTTCAGTTAAGGTAAATAAAATGAGGTCAATACATAACAAATACCGGCTACTTATGACGTAAAATAAATCTTTACCGAACCCCTCTAACAAAACTATGCAGAATAATTAAATACAATCAAACAAGATAAACATTTTTATGTCAACTCACTTTGGATCATTTATGTTATAAACATCTGGACAGTAGATAGGATATGAATTGAGCGAATCAGAACATGAACTGTCAATTATTTTAGAATGAATTTTTAAATTATGATCAATCTTGGAACCAAAAAGATTTAAATGCAAACTTGTAGAAACTTTCCAGAGGCTGATTAATTTATTGATATCTGATAAAAGTAACAAGAAGATATGTTCTTGGTTAATTAGTTGCAAGGATATATAATTCTTTGTTTGTAATACTTTTCTATCAGGAATGAACTACATTTACCTAAGTATTGTTTAATAAACATACATATTTTGCACAAAAAAATTGGATATTTTAAATTATAACAAATAAATAAGATTATCATTGAACTAAAACACAAACGAATACAGTTATGTCATACGTAGTACATAATTTATATTGGCATTTAAAAGACAATGTGTAAAACGTTTCTTTCCTAAGTCTCAAGGTAACAGCTACATCTTTACAACAATTCTCGTGTTTACCAGTAATATATCTGTGTTATCCACTAATCCATAATTTCTTTTTAATTTGAGGGATTTTAAATAAACAGTGTTGAGTAGCTAAAACTATAGAGAAACAGCCATTTAATAATCTTTGGTTTTCTATGGTTCACCAACTGGTGCCAGTAGTCCGTGATGAGAAGGGGACTTCATGCACAATCTATTCAAGATTGCTTCAGTGATATACTAAGGAAAGCACTAGTAAGATCAATAATCCACTGGGTATGTAAATGATACTCAACCACCGATATAATTGAACTTAATTAAGCCATTCACAATGAGGTTTGACAGATAATCTTTAATGAATTCAAGATATATATGTTTTTATTCTTATGGTCTAAATGAATTCGTATAGAAAATTAAATAAAGGAGAAGAGTACTCTGAAAGTATCAAGTAGTATGTAAACATCTTTGTCCACCCAATGTATTAATTTGTAGCATCAACATGATGTACATAATTTACAAAGGTTACTATCAAATGGGAAGATGGAATCATACATTAAACAAGTTTATGAAGATGATAAATTCAACTGGAAAAAAAGCACTCAGTTGCTTGTGAAAATATCAACAGTTGAGAGCAGGTACATTCAGCTAACTGGATTGCATCAATTACATCAATTCTATAAGAACTTTTGACTCATAAAAACTAAGCTTTATTATTTGCTAACAAGTTTTTATCAAGAACAATAGGAAGACCATGGAAAATGTTCCTATAATTTTACAATAAAGAAATATTTCACTTGGGTATACAGATTTAAAGATAGACCAAAAGTAAAGGGTATTGCTGAACAATAAAAAGACTTTAACAAAATAAACAAAATGTCCATATTCTCTAATGGAATTAAGTGATTGTTCTCCACAAAACACAATTCTTAACTGGGTAGATAACTGACAATTTTTTATGAGAAAATGAAAAAAAATCCATTATGTACATTAAGATAAAAATTCACATTTAACATTCGAAACTATAAGAAAACAAGTCAATGAAAAAAAATACTCGTATTTACGCTGTATATTTATGAAATATAATCATCACAACTGATTATGTGACGCATAAACATTGGACTTAAGGTAAACAATCACTGTCGATTGATCAATATAACTTAGTACATAAGTTATTCTTCATTTAAATCGATTCGATTGTAAGATAAACTAACACGATTTCAAGGTTGTTCACTTAAGTAGTTGACCTATTTGTATACAAAAAGTAACAACGCTAAAATGTTCGCCATTACTTAATTTTCCTTACAAATTTTGAAAAATAGTAAACTTTGTTAAGGTTGGGTGATTTTGAGGAAACTATTTGTATATTATTACTGAAAGCTGAAAAGCTATATACAACCGATGAACACTACATAGCTATTGTAATTTACAAAACAGAATTGTGAGTGTGTAATGCTGTGATGTCCAAAATTATGACAATGAAAACTGTTCAGTGATGCTACCTGACATTCTCTTATTCACTCTCTCTAGATGATATTATTTTGTGACGAACTTAATCTTCAAAATAAAGAAAACTTATTGGGTAACAACACATGAAAGAAAACACATTAAAATGATACTTCATTTACCTTCATACTTGTTTAAAACGGAACTTGATGGATGCTGTGAAATGTTTGCTAAAAAATTAGCGACTAAAAGATGAATAGGATATTCTAAATGAACAGCAGGCAAGTTATTTACTTTTGCAAATGATAAATCCGTATTATTATCACAATAATATGATTCGTTTGTCCATTGGTCCACATTAAATAAGAGTTGATTTACTGATGGTGAAGAATGATGTTTACCAATAATTAGTGTATTATTATTATTATCTGAATTGTTTAATGCTGAAAGACTGATTGAACTAAGCCAATTGATTAGACGTTCAAAATTTTCACATTGGAATAAGTGATCCAAATACCTAAGATCCTGAAATGATTACAAAAATTAAAAGAAAACGGAATAGAAAAAAATCGAATGTTGAGAAAAAGACATGAAATTGTGAACTATAAAATAAAATAACGGCTTTAAAAAATGTATAACAAGAATTACTCAAATGACTTTGTGATATGTAATTCATTCAAATAGTACTCCAAAAGCACAAACTCAAGTAAACATGAATGAATAGAAATGACGACAAATAATCGATATCTCTAAGCTAAAATTATGCATAAAGAACAGGTGGTAAATAGAAAAATTAAACTGTAACAATTATTTTATTTGAACACATAAATATTGGTACAAGGGGGCACCAAATATATATGCGCCACACAAAATAATGAGAATTTAAAGAGAATGAAAAAAAATGTAAGGAACGTAGGGAATTATAAAAAAAAAGAACAAAAATGAGGGAAACGAAAAGGTACAATCAGAAGAAATCATTCAGTTAAGGAAGGAGCAACCACTTTTTATGAAGAAAGTAAGAGAAGGTTACAGCAGGATCGCCACTGGCTTCAAGTCTGAGCCATATCTGATAACGTTTCTAGCCACTGTGTTACACCATCTCTCGGACCCCAGCCAGGGAGCTGTGAAGGACCAACAGAAGCTAGCCCTTTGCAGCTTTCTTTCATACCACGACACCATGTCATATACTGACCACCTCCGCTTTTTCCAACCAGTCCCAGAGTCTGTAAATAATGCACGACGAGGAAATCTCTGCGACATTCGTAGGACATGTCCAAGCCACCGAAGTCGGTGTTTCAAAATGGTGACACCAATTGGATTATCGTCTCTGTGCCCGACGCGTTGTAGATCCGACCTTTTACAGCCAGACTAACATCTAGAAGGCGCCAAAGATGGCCCAGATTGGCATAAGCCGCTCTGGCTTTCACTATACGTGCATTGATCTCATCACTCACACCACCACCAGCACTTATGCAGCTACCTAGATACACGAACTTCTCGACTACTTCTATCTGCTCACCATCCAGAGTGAGCAAAGGATTAGAATCCTGCCAGTCTTGTAGAAGAACTTTGCACTTCGAAGGTGCAAAGGACATACCATACCACACACTGATTGCCAACTGATTAAGTGCGGATTGCATGGCTTGAACATTCTCGCACAGTAAGACAATATCATCCTCATACTCAAGGTCGAGAAGTCTTTCTCCAGGCAACAGATTCACACCACCATTACTTACATCCGTCAGAGCTGTTTCCAGAATGTCATCGATGGCAAAGTTGAAGAGGAATGGTGATATTGAGCAACCCTGCCTAACTCCACTGCTTGAATGGAATAGTGGAGAAAGGTGGTTGTATGTCCTCACTCTGCCTGAGGTGTTTGTGTATAGGGCTTTTAGGATGTTAATAAACTTCTCAGGCACACCCTTCTTCAATAGACAATCCCAGAGAACAGTTCTGTCCAACGAATCGAAGGCAGCCCTGATATCAATAAACACTACGATTGTTGGCCTTTGATAAGTATGGCGGTGTTCTAACACTTGGCGGAGGGTGAAGATATGATCAATACATCCTCGACCAGAACGAAACCCAGCCTGTTCCTCGCGAGTCAATCCTTCTCGGGTTTTGAACAACCTATGAAGTATAACGGAAGCCAATAGCTTGGACGCAATCGGAAGTAGACTTATCCCCCGATAGTTGTTACAGGAACGACGTGAACCCTTTTTAAAGATAGGGACAACTATCGACTCATTCCATGACGTTGGTACACTCTCTAGTTCCCAGATCTTTGTAAACAACGTCGTCAGTCCCTTAGTCAGAAAGTCACCACCATCTTTAAAAAGAGCCGGAGGTAAGTCGTCTGGGCCTGGTGATTTGTAACGTTTCAAAAGTTGGAGTTCCTTGCGGACTTCCACCTCATTTGGTGGATCAGTCGTCACCGGCCATGGAGGGCAGGACAGTCTGACCGATGCTGCCGGAGCAGCAGGCCAGTTCAACTGCCCTTCAAAGAATTCTGCCTATCGTCCAAGACGTCGATGAATGTTAGTGATTGGCGTTCCGTCATCTCCGCAGATTGTTTCTCTCACACCAGACTTCTTGCTGCCAGTGGCTCGGATGAGTTGGAAGAGCTTCCGGTAATTACCAGACGCAGCTGCTGCTTCCAGCTCATTAGCACGCTCCGACCACCAGGCTTCTCGGTCCTTACGCAAGCTTTGCCCGATTTCATTACGTAACATCCTTCGTCTGTGGTCAAACTCACGGTCACCCGGAGTAGACCGACGGACTTCAATCAGTTGTAAGGAACCAGAAGAAACCCAGTGCTTATAAGCGGGACGTTTCGCGAACCCACAACAGACTGTACCCGCCATTTTCATGGCGTCATGCAATTGCAACCAATGCTCATCTATACTTTTCGGTGGAATGGTAGCTAGCCTAGAAGCTAGCTCGGTTCGGTACTTACTAGCAACAGAAGTTGCAGCCAGCTTGCTAACATCAATCCTTTGGTGGCGGTCACTTCGTTGTCCACTGAAAATTAAGGTAAGATTGGCGCAGACTAGAGCATGGTCAGATTCCAGATAGGTACTCCAAAAAGAGCGGCAGTCTTGTACACAACCACGCCAGCGGTAGCTGATCGCGATGTGATCAATCTGTATCCAGGCTTGAGATACAGAAGGAGGACACCAGGTGGCACATCGGCGATGACTGTACCGAAAATTAGTGCTAGCCAGAAACAGGTTGTGGTCTGTGCATAGTTGCAGTAGACGTTCCCCGTTATCTGTCCTGCTACCAACAAGTCCCCATCGGCCACCTAAACGACTCTCTTCTGTGCCTAGACACCCGACCTGAGCATTCAAGTCTCCAGCTAGTACTACAATATCTGTCGAACGCACTTTCTGGAGAAGAACAGTTAACTGGTGGTAGAACTCATCCTTGATTGCATCCGGGCTGCAATCTGTCGGGGCATAGGCGGAGACGAGGAAAAGACATCGTTTCTCAAGCCGATTTCTTCTCACTTTGATGGAACTTACTAATCTAACAGCACATAACCGACTGTTAATCGAGATCCAATCGATTAGTGCTGCCTCAGCTCTAGCGCTTAGTGCGACACCAACGCCAGCAAGGTCAGACGAAGATGTCACAGGGTCCCCGGATAAACGCACGTAAAACAAGCTTTTTGAAGTGACAGATGGAGAGCGGATTTGTAGTACTTCACCAGAGTTTTGAATACGGGTCTCGGATAGACAACACACGTCAATATTAAGACTTTCCAAAGACATAGCCAGCCCTATCTGTTGTCCGACCTGCATAAGTGTGCGAACGTTGAAGGCAGCCAGTTTGAATGGTGCACGTGGTTTCAGAAAAACTGCTTCAGTACTCATATTCGATGGTAACATACAATTTTCAACCAGGCAGTGAAACGAGAACGTTTAGATAGAGCCGAATGTCCACCATAGGCGAGCAGCTGTATAAGTCGAAAAATAAGGATAGACAGAGTGGGAATGAAAGAGAGTGAATAAATGATGTGGTAAATAATAATAATAATAATAATAATAATAATAATAATAATAATAATTATTATTATTATTATTATTATTATTATGTGAATTGTCTGACGGTAAATCGCGGCGTGAATACAGTTTTCAGAGAACATCATCATTCTCATTATATTTGTGTGTGGGATGTGATACTGCACGGATGTCCGAACCGAAGCAGGTGGTTTTCTTAGGGGGCCACACCCCGAGCCTTCGACCTAAAGGTCTAACCCACAAGGCAGTGGAGCATCGTGAGGAGATGCAGTCCCATGGAAACCAGTGACCAAGAAATTGGTTCATACGCCGTTTGTTCCCGCAGGATACTGGAGCCCATGTGCACCATTGATTTGGGATCCGGTTATAGCGCCGGATATGAAGAGATCATGGGACGACACGGACTGGGAGAAAGGAACGAAAATGGTGAGAGATTTGCAAATCTATGTGCCTTCAATAAACTGGTCATAGGCGGCACTATATTCCCACATAAACGCATACACAAAACCACATGGACTTCACCGGATCACACCACACAGAACCAAATCGACCATATCTGCATCAACAAAAAGTTCAGGAGGACGATGGAGGACGTGAGAACAAAGAGAGGAGCTGATATAGTATCAGATCATCACTTGCTGGTCGCCAAGATGAAATTGAAACTCAAGAGGCACTGGACAACGGGGAGGACAATATCACAAAAATTTAATACGGCTCTTCTTCGGGATAATGACAAACTCAATAAATTCAAGATAACCCTCAGCAATAAGTTCCAAGCCTTTCATGATCTACTCAATGGAGAAGGAACTACTATGGAGAGCAACTGGAAAGAGATAAAAGAGGCAATCACTTCAACATGTCATGAGGTTCTGGGCCAAAAGAAGCACCATCACAAGGATTGGATCACGGTCGATACACTGGATAAGATTCAAGAAAGGAGGAACAAGAAAGTAGCAATCAATACCAGTCGAACAAGAGCAGAAAAAGTCAAGGCACAAGCTGAATACACAGAAGTAAACAAGCAAGTGAGGAGGAGCATCAGAACTGACAAACGTAAATATGTGGAAGATTTGGCAATGACGGCGGAAAAGGCTGCCAGAGAAGGAAACATGAGACAACTGTATGAAACAACAAAGAAACTCTCCGGAAATCACCGTAAACCAGAACGACCAGTGAAAAGCAAGGAAGGCAAGATAATCACCAACATTGAAGAACAACGAAACAGGTGGGTAGGACACTTCAAAGAACTCTTGAATCGACCAGCCCCACTGAACCCACCCAACATCGAAGCAGCACTCACGGACCTCCCAATTGATGTTGGCGCACCGACAATTGAAGAAATCAGCATGGCTATCAGACAAATCAAGAGTGGCAAAGCAGCAGGACTAGACAGCATTCCAGCAGAGGCACTGAAAGCAGACGTAGCGGCAACTGCAAGGATACTCCAAACTCTCTTCAAAAAGATCTGGGATGAGGAACAGGTACCAAAAGACTGGAAAGAAGGACTTCTAGTCAAAATACCAAAGAAAGGCGATCTCAGCAACTGTGACAACTACAGGGGAATCACTCTTCTTTCAATACCGGGAAAAGTCTTCAACAGGGTATTGTTAAACAGGATGAAGGACTCCGTAGACGCCCAACTTCGAGACCAAAAGGTAGGATTCCGTAAGGATAGATCGTGCACAGACCAAATCGCAACTCTACGGATCATTGTGGAACAATCAATTGAATGGAATTCATCACTCTATATCAACTTCATCGACTACGAAAAAGCATTTGATAGCGTGGACAGAACAACCCTATGGAAGCTCCTTCGACACTACGGCGTGCCTCAGAAGATAGTCAATATCATACAGAATTCCTATGATGGATTAAACTGCAAGATCGTTCATGGAGGACAGTTGACAAAGTCGTTCGAAGTAAAGACCGGTGTCAGGCAAGGTTGCTTACTCTCACCCTTTCTCTTTCTCCTGGTGATCGACTGGATCATGAAGACATCAACATCTGAAGGGAAGCACGGGATACAGTGGATAGCTAGGATGCAATTGGATGATCTAGACTTCGCAGATGATCTGGCTCTTCTATCGCACACACAACAACAAATGCAGGAGAAGACAACCAGTGTAGCTGCAGCCTCAGCAGCAATAGGTCTCAATATACACAAAGGGAAAAGCAAGATTCTTCGATACAACACAACATGTACCAATCCAATCACAATTGACGGAGAAGCTTTGGAAGATGTAAAAACCTTTACATATTTGGGCAGTATCATCGATGAACACGGTGGATCTGATGCAGATGTGAAGGCACGGATTGGCAAAGCAAGAGCAGCATATCTACAACTGAAGAATATCTGGAACTCAAAACAATTGGCAACCAACACCAAAGTCAGAATTTTCAATACAAATGTCAAGACAGTTCTACTGTATGGCGCGGAAACCTGGAGAACTACGAAATCCATCGTCCAAAAGATACAGGTGTTTATTAACAGTTGTCTACGCAAAATACTTCGGATCCGTTGGCCGGACACTATTAGCAACAACCTACTGTGGGAGAGAACAAATCAGATCCCAGTGGAGGAAGAAATCAGGAAGAAGCGCTGGAAGTGGATAGGACACACATTGAGGAAAGCACCGAACTGCGTCACAAGACAAGCCCTCATATGGAACCCTCAAGGTCGAAGGAAGAGAGGAAGACCAAAGAATACATTACGCCGAGAAATGGAGATAGATATGAGAAAAATGAACAAGAATTGGATGGAACTTGAAAAGAAGGCCCAGGACAGAGTGGGTTGGAGAATGCTGGTCGGCGGCCTATGCTCCATTGGGAGTAACAGGCGTAAGTAAGTAAGTAAGTAAGTATAGCGCCGGACGTTCGCTTTCCGTCCTCTCATTTTCGTAAACAACACCCGTGGTGTGAGAAGGCAGTGAGTAGGACTTCCCTGGCAGAGGCTGTATACGCGTGGCCGTGTGAGAGAATTTCGAGAGGGAGGGCGAACCCATCCCACTCTCGGCCATACCACGGGCAATGACACATAGTTTTAGTTTCTTTTTCTGCTGAAACTATACCTGATTTCAGGATAGCGAAGGGATCTAATTATTATCGTGATGGTTCAATGACTCAATATTGACAATGTTAAAATTCTAATAAAATCAATTGACATATAAATGTAGGATAGATGGAATGTAGCTAGCAGTAAACTTTAGGACGTACGTTTCATCCTATCTGGGACTTGTCAGATGGAGGTGCTTACACCCCAGGTTCTTGCATTAAACAACTAATTAATCATTGTGAAAATTCACTGAAGTAATGTGACGAAAATGTGTTCAAAGTTGACCTTAATTTCACCTGAAATATATATTGTTCTTTTTCCTCATAGGTTGTATCTGGTGTTTCCACATCCCTAATATACATAAAAAGGATTGTTATGCAAAAGCTAAATGAATATGCCTATGTTGACGTAATGACCACTCTTCGGACCAGCTCCCATCAGGCAATGATGCCATCGTTAAGATCACATAGTGTGTGGTATCATAGAGAAATGAAAAATAACCTGGGAAGTATATGTTTGTAATATAGCAAATTTAGGATACGCTCGAAAAAATATGATTTTCTTTCAAATAATAAAAACTAGAACAATCAATCTAATCAGACATTATCATGGTTTAAAAATTACTATGACTAAATAGTGACGACCACCTCCGTTACGTAATGCTCAATAGCCAAGTATTTCATTAGGGCTAGATACATATTAGCAGTTGAAATTCTACTGCTGAAACCACTTCATCAAAAGAATCCATTCACTGATGTAAAAGTCATTTATCACTATTAATTCTGTAGGAGTAACGGAGTTAGGACTACGGACAAAAAAATTTTCAAAATATGAATAAGCTGCACCAAAAATAAATACATCTTATCAAGAGCTTACCTTGCTGTATGAAATCAAAAGATGTAATATATAATCTGTAGTGAGTTTTGGATCTTTGCTGAAAGACAATAAACGACTTCGTTTACGAGGAGTACTATAAATATTACTGGTAGTAATTCCAGCCTAAAATGATTAAGTAGTAAAATTCAATGCAACAGATATGGTGCAAATCTGATAACAGGAGAAATACATAGTCACGGGTTTAAAAAAACGTCCAATTCGGACGTTGAGCAACGTCAGAACTTTATCAATAAATAAAAGATACGGAAGTCATTAAATTCTGTGTAGTCAAATATCTTTCTACTGGTGACAGTAATTTTCATTCATTTCAGTTGATCTTTAAATACACTTACATTGTGAGTGAACAAAAACGCTACGCTGTAAGTACAAAGACAGTTCAGGGGTGTGGTATTTTAATGTATCAATCGATTTATCTATCTTAAAGAGAATAGTCATGTTCAATCCCTTATTCTCCTATGGTCTTAACGCCCGTTCGAATTTTACGAACTGCAAGTGATAATTTATTACATTCTTTTTTAAGTAGACAATTGTCATTAGCATTTATTCAATAGATTATTACTTCTTGTGACTTCAGAAACTATAACATGACGTAAACTTCTGGTGATTTTTGATTACTTTGCTGAATGATGAAACTTTTTTTCCTCAATGATCGAAAAACTTAGTTATACTGTATATTATATTATATTTAATACTTGGAATCTTTTGATAATCTTGACTATACTATGCAAAATCACTTCATTTTCACTGACTTTCACTTGAATAGGCTTGACTATCTTAGTAGGTATCATTACCAAGGTTTGATTTGATAATTTCGAATAAATTGAGCATTGGGTTGATTGTTATAAATAAATAATATATTTGTAATATCCCAATGAGTAGAAAATTAGATTTTCTGACGTTTTGTGACTTAGTGTAAGTTACTTCTTCAGAGAATAAATAAGCAAATTAAAATTAATCCAAGTTTAAATAGTACAACGGAACAATGCAAGAATAATATTTGATCAAATATTATCAATGACTAAATCTAAATACTGATAATGAGAAGAAAACTCAAATACAAATGTTAACACCAGAGAGATGTTTGTTCCACCGATTCAGAATGGAATGTCAAAAATATGTTGAAGGCTTTAGAAAGAATTTCCCAAATCACTGAAAAGTATCTCCTTCAAGGAAATATATTTTGGCTGTATATTTATGAATGCAAGCAATAGATTGTACAAAACTAAATTTCTACCTGGGAACTTAACATAACAAATCTGTTTTAAGAAAGAACCAGTTTGTGTCAAACAGGAACAATGAATGCATTGCAGCAATCATGTACATACTTTAAGATAAGTCTTTATATATGAAGTTTATCGATACAACTGTAGAGTAAAAACCAAGTAGTGCAGTGGCGAATTAATTCAAGTATATAAGTAATTATTATAACAGAAATTTATTCACATGAAATATTAAAAACTATGGTCCAATGCGAGATTATAAATTTTAACTATATTTTGCCTGGATTAACCTAAGCAACTTATAGTTTACAATGTATAAAGTAAACAGTAGTATGTGAACAGTAATTCCTTGTATGTTGAGAAAAAAATAGACGTATACCATGATTTACAGAGAATAGATGAATTGTAGCTAGCAGTGGTGGCATCTAGGATATATCTATAGCTCTATTTACTACTGGTCAGCTACATGTACCTAGAACCCAGCATGTACTGACGTTCATATTGGGACCACAATCCCTTTTTTTCATTTTAAACGAAGAGATCATTTAAGTTGTTTCAAACAAACGATTTCCGAAAATGAAATTCCTACATTTTAAAGAGTGAATCATCATAAGTCACTTAGCAAATAACTTAACAAATAAATCATAGTACTAAAGTTATAATAATAGTAATAGTAATAATAATGATAGCAATAACAATGAACAGTAGTAATTACCTTTACACTTAAATCACATATCATTTTATAAAATAAACCCAATTCATCTGAATGAGTGGTTTTATTGAATTCACTATATGGATTTGTTGAAGTGACATCGTCAGCGTCTGTAGACACAGCAGTAGCAACATTATCATCGCCATTATACTTTACATGATGAATTAAATTATACAGTGCATTCATACCATTGCGAATTATGACACTACCTTTCAAAATTGACAAGGATGACTATCCCGTATTGATGGGAGTTGGGTGAGGGAGTGACGAACAAAATTTAAAGAAACATAGGAATTAATTAAATATATATTATATACTAGTCAAACTACATGAAATCATAACACTGATGACCTGATGATATACTTCAAAGACATTGTTTATCACTTATCTGAAAGCGAAAACATCCATTATAATATTTGCATAATTATAAAATCGATGACTCAAACATTTGAGCCAGACATTATATTGATCACTTTTAGCGACCACTTCCAATGACAGTGAAATACAACATGTTATATAATCACTCTTTAAACAGAAACAAGTTTTGCTGACAATAATTTAATTAAAATTAATGAATTTCGCAATTAATAAAATTATGTTGTTTCCCCCAGTTATTTTTGATATTATGAATGGATGAAATTTAAAGTTCAATCACTCAGTCACACAGAACAAAGGCTATTGCGCAGAATGTACATCGCTGTAAGTTGTTTCACCCAATTTGATGCTGAGAGACAACACAAGTTAAAAAAGACGTTAAATACAATTTGATTGTTTTGAAATCGATGAAAGATCAACATAGGATTCAGACCTGATTGTTCAAGTTGAACAACTAGTGATTGTATTATTAAACTCCAGTAATTACGATTCAAATGAATAAATATCTTAGACAATAATATTAGTCAACCAGATTTCTATGTGGGTATGGCCCCCGAATGCCCTGGTACGGCCGAGAGTGGGGAGAGACCTCTCTCCCTCTCGAAATGCTCTCACATGGCCATGCGTATATAGCCTCTGCCAGGGAAGTCCTACTCACTGCCTTCTCGCACCAGGGGTGTTGTTTACAAAAATGAGAGAACGAAAAGCGAATGTCTGGCGCTTTAACCGGACCCAAAACCAATGGTGCACATGGGCTCCAGTATCCTGCGGGAACAAATGGCGTATGAACCAATCGTTGGTCACCGGCTACCATGGGACTGCATCTCCTTACGATGCTCCACTGCCTTGTGGGTCAGACGTTCAGGTCGAAGGCTCGGGGTGTGACCCCCTAAGAAAACCACCTGCTTCGGTTTGGGCACCCGGGCAGTATTACAGCCCTCACACAAATCAATTGAGATTTGTGTGGCGCATATGTATTTGGTGCCTCCCTGTACCTATACTTATGTGTTAAAATAATAATAATAATAATATGTGGGTATGACAAGAGAATTTTCGTACAAACCATGGATTCACATGTTAAATACAACTTGGTGATGAATGGGAAGGTAAACATTAGCGGTGCTGAAGGTGTGTGGTCAGTCGACACCTTTACATCCCTCGTATTTCTAAAACATATATCTAATTTAGGTATCCGGAAAGGGAAATTGGATTGGTATTAATGGTCTCGTCAACCTGGGAACATGAACATACATCCTAGCGACTAACTTTTCGGTATCAGTAACATATGTGCATCCAAAATTTCACAATAAGCACCGGAAATCTGTGGAATCAGTCAAGATGAATTATTGCTAAGCCTGAACATCCTTAATATTTCATTATAGATTTGCAGCTTTCCAACCAAGCAGTGTAGTATGGTAAAATCTGAAGGATCACGTATTAATTCAATAGGGTTCAAACTTGGTCACAGTGTTAAGACAACAGCTGCACGAACTTATAATAAGAAAATTTCCACATGTAAATGATATACAAATTAAAAGAAATCTCACTAGATTTTTTTCGGAAGAATAATTGTCATAAGGTGTAGAAATTTCTGATTCATCACATTGTTCATACTTCCTTTTCTTATTTGCAATAGTATTATGAATGTCTGAATCTCGTCTGGAAAACAATCGTGTTTTTGCAAATACATATGCACTAGAAGTAAAAAAATGAACACAAGTACAGTGGTTTTATTTCCATTAATACAAATTACACTGAACGTCTGAACGGATTATTGGTTTCAAGAACAGTCAGTTTATACGTATGATTTGTCATTTTGGAACAAATGTGATAAAATTAAAAAAACAGAAAGTTTTATTATCTTTTCACTCTACACAAAAAAGTGTAAATAAATTAGTACAATTGAGTCACGTTATATGTTCATAAGGCAGTATCCCCAAAACAACGTGGAAAACAATTGAATCAAGGCAGGACTGAAAAGATGCTTTCCTGTGGCCCAATTGGTCTTAATATAGAATACCAAATGTTTACTACACCATTAAAATGTAGATTAATATGCTTCCGATATCACTTCCAATCGGATCTGTGTATTGACATATACCTGGGGTAATAAGACTATAGGAAGGACAGAGAGAAAGGTTTCCGCTAGATTGTCTGAACATGTTCCTATGATTCAATATATGAGAGGTAGTAAGATCTTTACAAGTGCAATTACCAGGTGTCTTCTCGGCAAAGGACATAAATTCGATATGCGTAGTACATCCAAAACAATTCACAGACAACTAACACTAACTTTACTCCATTTTGTGGAGACAATCGCTATTAAAGCGTTTCCGACCTAATTTATGTGTACAGAACGAAAGTGTGATAAACCCTTCTTTTCCATGGTAACTCAGTGTTCATTAAATAACCTTTTTATTGTTCGCATAATTATTTGATTGTTTCTAATCATATTTAATAAGTATACAACTGTTTATTAATTTCATTATGCTTTTGTAATCCCCTGTTATCTTCATTATGATTACTAGTAACTACAACATTACCCATTTAACTCTGAATTACTACTTTTCGACATATAAATACGCATCAACTTTAAGTTTATCCACAGATTTTGTCATATTCAGGGAAATATGACAAGGACATCAAACACCCATAAATTCAATCCCTTACAATTTATGTCAAGTAAGAAAATGTTAAAAATACTATGATGAATCCCATACTACGCGACGAGTTTCGGGAGAAAATTAAATCGTATTTTATGCTTGATGTCGATGTAACGACATTATTCACAATTAAAATTGTTAGCATTTTTTCAAGTCACTTCAGTTATGTCCTGAACGACGATCAAAGATGTAACAGCTAGAGAATATATACACCTGAATTATGTCGCCCGATATTTTTACTGATAATTAAGAAAAAAATCTACTTACAAAATTATACCATTGTTTTGTAAAAAAGAATATGCTAATTATAACTTGAATGTTTTAACATAGAGAAAGGACACGACCTAAGAAGCATGATTCTGATTTCAATCGTCCTCATAATAACTTAACAGTTATATCAATTGCAATGACTAATTTCAAAACAATAATAACAGATATAACAAGTCTACACTATATTGAACAGTGATAAAGTTGAATAGAAAAGAAATGATTACTAACGATAAATACGTTTCTTACCTCCATATTATACATAATGTTGATGTTGCTTTAACTGCTGTTAACGTAAAGAAAAAAATTAATTATGAGAGAGGAAGAAATAATTTGAAAGAAAATAACTTTATACACACCATTTTATACCCTTTTTGTAGAAATTAATACAAAGCCATACAATGATAAACCAGACAAAACCCTAGATTATTTTAACCCTGTTAAACTTAAGAAACCATTTATTCCTTAAAAAGTAATTGCTAAAAAATTATTGTAAATTACTTACGCCATTAATTGAATAGCTATGCGATTAAAAAGATTACTTGTTAATATAAAATAACTAACCGAATAAACATATTTGAGTAAATGACCCAATATCAGAGATAAATATGTAGGTTGACATAGGTGTCCAAATCAAAAATGGTGCCCACCAAAACACATCATAATGCACCGGACAGATAACACCGGATCATTCACTAGTCTGTTATCTACTAATCATGAACTAAAATGTAGTCATATCCTGAAGGTCACTTCGTTCTGATTGGCTTAGCAAGAGGCAACGAATAATCTTGCACAGAACAATCAACACATATATCACTACGAATAAACCAATCGCAAATTAGTGTTTTTATGACAGACTTAAGAGTTTGCGTCAGCTGACGTGAAAAACAACAAATCATAGGACGTTGACTTTAGGTATGTTGAAACACGTATAGCAGTGAAACAGTCCGTTTATTTTCAATATTAAGAAGCATTTTTATTTGAGAAAACGTTAATAATTATTTGCACACAGTGTAAATAAATGTTTCCAGGTCGGTTTAAACTTATAATGTGCGAATAAATGTAGGAAACACAAGTTGTTAGTCATTTTACTTGATTGACCAGCCATTTTAATATAAGCAGATGAATCAGAAATTAAATCAAGTTTTGGGTGTAGTGAGATTAGTTGGCATTTGTAAATGGATACGAACAATAAAACAATGTATATATGCATTTACTTGACAAATGTCAAGTGTACAACATATTAGCGTTTAGTTAGAAACGTTGGAATGTGACTATTAACGACAATAAGGGTCGTAGAAATGTATAACTGGTCATCTCATAGCGTCATTTTCTCTAGTAGAAGCCGAGCCTTGTACCATGCCAAAAATGAACTCGAACTGAGCTCCGATTAGGTAAGTTTCGATAAAACCATTAGCTGACTTTGGTTTGAAACAATATATTTCTATTTAAAAGATGGCACAAAACGTGGAAAAATACTCAAGTTAAAGTAATTTTGAAGAAATTAACGACAGATTCAATCTCATAGTTAATAATAAAACGACCCGACTACTTATTAAAATAATAAGAGATCAAAGCAACTCTAATCTGTTTTGCATTGATAAACATTAATCTATTGTGTAAAAGAGGCGTGTTTACACAAAATATTTATTCTAGGGTAACATTAACATTACGACACCTTCAAACCTTATATTTGTACTTACCAGTTATCAGACTCGGCATTCTAAATAACTAACTTCTATTTAGTCTGTAAAACAAAAGCGATAAGAGGAAGCTGTTAACAGACAGAAGGATTTAAGACCACAAGTGATATGGATAATTGACGAGTGACTCAGTCCAGTTCATAAATTGAATTGATAAAGTTAGCTCAGAGTATGGATGTGCCAATTGCCCGTAAATTAAATTGAGATGAAAAAATTATTAGTACTCTATAGGTCGGTCTTATTCGGTTCGCTAAATGAAAAAAGACGTGCTTCCAACAGTTAGTTATCATTTAAAAACCAAACATATGAAGAGATACTTGTCAACTTCAGAACAGTAGCTGCGTGCTTGTATGCAGTAGTGTATAATATTGTAACAAAAAACGTGGAAAATCGGACAGAAAAATTTCTGCAGGGATGAAATCAATTCGAAATCTGGTAGCTGTTAAATATAACTGATATAAAGTTTGTAGGACTAAAAAATCCCCATAGGAGCTAATGAAAAATCGAAACCAAACAGTCAAGGTACTCAGTATACAATGTGTGAGAGGTTGAGTTTATAAAACCTTCCTAATTTCATTGAAATCCTTGACCGATCCAAGCTAGACTATTACTGAAAACCTGGAACCATTAGATAAATTTTTTTAGTATGGGGATTCGTGAGTTTGATTTCCACTCACGGAGTAGTGAGTGAGCACTCCTGAAGATTCCCATGCTAGGACGAGACGGCCATTTAGTGCTTCTAGGTTTACAATGGTGGTCTAGCTAAGATCAGTCCGTGATTTCAATGATATATTTAGACTTCTGAATACTGATGAAGTGAAACGTGGGGTTGAAATCTTTACCTCCGTTTCACCAGACTTAAAGTTTCTGGCCAAAATACTGACATACTTGGTATGGGTATCAAATATGATATTAGAAGAAACACGGATGTTTCACGCCCCTTAATTTTTTCGAGTATTCGAACACAATGGAAGGAAAATTTGCTAAAAAGTAAAATACGTACAATACATCACTTCTGGTAGGTTAGTTCTTGTCTTTCCAAATTCTATGTGATCGAATAGTTGTTTATTAATCGTTTCAAACGAAATGAACCTTACAAGTGTGTGGACAGATACATACTCTCCAAATTAAAACTGTTGTTACAATATATTGGTCCATAACTATTACTACAGTACTCACTTATTTTTTTGAGACGCAAAAGTTAAGTTGACCAATAAAGATGGAACATATAAGTAACTGCTTAATGTTATTTTTACACAGTAGACTGAATAGTGCATATATTCAGCCTTTAACACATTGAACCAATAGGCGATAAGAATTGTTGTTCAGTAAAAATCGCTTAACATAAAATTACAATAAATAAAAGTCCTTAAAACGATCGAGTAAATAAAGATAGTTCTTCAGGTCTACTGATCACAAGCATTAGGTCAGTAAAACAAAAACTTAGATAGAACTGTATTTATTTTTATTTGCATACAATAACATTAAACATCTGATGTAATTTGCATTATTGTTCAATATCTGACGAATATGAATTATGCTTCCATTGGTTGAATGTAAAACTGATCGAATTGAGCTGTCATTTGGATAGCTTGTGAATATAAATCGCTGTCAAACTTTGTACTTGCTTCCTGGGAGAAAACGACTGGTTCTGCTGTAGCATTGATTTCTGTACCTTGCATATTGCTTACGCGACCTTGGACTTCTATGACTCGATTTTCTGGAGAAGCCTATACAAGAAGAAAAATTCAAAAGTAAAGGATGACATATGATTTTCAATTACCTCAAACAGTGCAACTAACCACATAAGGCATATTTGATCTGTAACGTTAACCGTTTATTACTATAGTGACTTAATCTTCGAAATAAAGGCAACGAAAACGAAATTACCATTTGAGATGGAAAAATTGGTTACCTGATATTTTTGACAGTGAAAAATAAGTTAAGTAATCAGCAAATTTAATAACCGTGAAGTGATGATAACAGAACAAGAAAATGAGAAAAAAAACAAGATAATTAAAATTAGTTCAATCCAGAAGATTTGTTTACTTGGTATGAGTTTTTCTATTTGAAGGAAGTAGTAGTCATATATCATGATTTAATATATGCATGTATTTAAATACCATGTAAACAAATTTAGCGCCTCTACGTAGATATATGACAATATAAGACGTGTGGACACATCTGTGTGAGTATAAACAATGTATTACATCTGAAGTATTACACTTTAAACAGTATTACATGTTAGTGTACATCGAATCAAATAAACATGGAACTGTGGTCTAGTATACTATCCCAGTTTTAACAAGTGTAATAGGTTTTTTGTTCAATAGGATCACTAAAACAGTTGATATGCATTAAAATACGCTACTGAGACCAGATCAATCAGGCAAATAAATGTTTCTTTGTGATAATTTCACTTTCAAAGGGTGAAAAAACTGGATTTGACAAGAAAGAATGGATGTAGTGAACAAGATTGTTCGTCATCATGCATATAATGAACATATTAGTCATTCAGTTTGATTCAGACACACAATAAATTACAAAACCAAAAACTATGTGACATGAGGTATTATTTATTATTATTCAATTAACAAGCTGGTTGTGAAATATGGCCAGTGTTTGTGTATGGAAGAACTATAAAGTAACACTGAGATATGGGTTCCCATGTAGAGGTGGTAAATTAGTGTCAGACAATAGCAACCCATTAATTGCACATATTCGGTCCGTGAAATTAACGGGTACTCACTTTGTCAAAATACCCCCGTAAAAGCTAAACTACAAAGGCTAACCATCAGTGGGATTTAAATGTACGGATTCAGTTTTTAAGAAGCATAAGTTTCAAAATGACATAAGAATACCTGAAGAGGCGAGAGAAGATTGCAATCGATTTCCCGCCCATCCGCACAGCGCATATGTATCTTTTGCCCTGAAGGGGCAACACGAAGAGCAGTCCCAACTATACATACATCGCGACCTACTAGATTAGGAAGCATTGAACCCGTAACACGGAATCGAGCTGTGGGCTTTTGATCAGAAGAATCCTAAAATGAGAAGTAGTTAGTAATAATAAACCAGAGCCAGTGATCAGAAAGAAGAAATGATGAACTAATTATATTTTAAGAGATCTGATTACACTACACAGCAAAACCAAGTTTTCTCAAACATTCTTTATGCTCCATGATCACATTTGCACACATGTCCTCGCCATACATTAGAACGCACTGATCACGCTTGAGACGTGTTTCTGGACATGCACAACAGGGTTTAAGAGGTTTTCCTTCGCTGTCCAAAGGTATTTTTGAAGTAGATTGATTGGGAAGGTTTTTCGTGCTCGATGACATTGTTTGAGAAAGCCTACATTGATCAAAATAAAGCAGAAAGGTGGTCTAAATACATGAACATTTGGACAACAGAAGACTAATACACTCAAAACTGAAAATCGGGACTGAAATAACATATCAGTGAATAGTGTTAAAGAATATAAGCGGTATATTTACATTGACATTGAAATACCAAGAGATAATTGGCGGATATTTTAAGTGAAACTTGTGTGACCGAATATTCTTTACTCTCGTTTCTATTTCTATTGTCCCAACGTCATCTGGCATTTTGAACCGGTAAGTGATGGTTGGAAGTAATGAACAGGAAATCCTAAACTTACGTTTTGCGCTGTCTGGCACTCGTCAGTAAGGTGTACCTGTAATCTTGGGAGAACCGACGCTACCCGGAAGATCCTATTCCTTGTCACTCAGCTTCACAATCAGAGACGTTACTACTGAGCTATCCGACCCGTAGCTGACCTGTAGAACTGAAATGTATTTACAATTGATTGATCACTGGTTAGTGACCGATGTCATATGTTTCACGTCCTTCTTAGTTCAGGTCGGATTCTATTGACCAAGTTGAAATGTGGCTACTAGTTAACTAGAAATCGCGTTTCCAATCTCCCCAAACTCCGTCACTAACGACACTTAACGTACAGACAACGTTGAATTCAGAAGGGAACTTCGGAAACAAAAATAGACATTCTGGTTTTGGACTCGGTTACCAGTAAACATTAGCATACGATTTTCATCTGACTGAACCAAAATATTTCGACGTGACTAGCCTTTGCCAAGTGACACTATAATTTAAACTGCTAGCATTAGGGTAATTATAGACGAATAATTTAGTTAAGTGGAAATTAAATATCATTTATCCGTACATAAACGACTGTGACGACCGGAATGTATTACCAGGAAATAGACAGGATCTTTCGACACTGACTTCAAACACTAACGCATTATCTACCGAGTACAAATGGCCAATAACTTTAACGGTTCCCATCATCATCGTGATACTGATCCATCTTAACTAAAATGCCATATCAAGTCAGTCCGCCCGAGGTCGATATAAGTTAAAAGATGTCAATTAGCCCTTAACACAGACAACAAGAAAACCAAAACCTTTACAAACAGGACTGTTTCGTTGAACTTCCAGGCGTTCTACTGAACAAGTTATTGATTAACACTTCATTTTTCTATTACTTGCATTCCATTCAACAAACCAAGTGTAGACAATAACCAGGACTCGAGTTATACCGCTAGTTGAGTGAGTAGATGAAATGATCTGGGAATGAGGACTGAGCAAACGAAATAGCATTATCCTGAGGCTCCGACCGAACCCGTAAAGAAAGCATTTGCTTGTTTGATATTATCAGGGCAGAAGAATCCCTGAGATAAAAGCATTTCGGTAACCCGAAACTAAACATCTGATCCGTTTTCACTCATAGGATTGGTGATATGACGTCCTTAGAAGGTATAAAACCGCTTAAACATGGACTTCCCTCTCAAGTAAAAAATGATTAAGATTCTCAACTAAGTTACGTATCAGAACATTTTGCTGCCGATCGAAAATCGAAAACAAATCACCAAAATAGTTTAGATTACGAGAATTAACACTGGTTACGTGACATTCTACCTCTACATCTATAACCAGCTTCTTTTGAGATTTGACTCCAAATCCAGGGGCTAATAGAAGAGCGACGTGACTAGTAAGTAAACTGAAGTCTCAATAAATTTGAGGTAAAATTGAAAGTCGAATTAGGGGGTAGTTACTCTACCAATCAACAAAAGGGGAGAAACATATTTAAAATGTACATAAGACTAACAAGTTTTATGAACTACCTGAAAATTTCTCAGGTAACTCTTGAGATTTGAATTAGAAAGGCAGCATATGGGACCTCAAACACTGAAATCTAATTTTAAACTCTTACTCGTACATTTCGACTCTGAAATTTCCACGTTTACTAGCATAAACAATTTGGCGAGACTATAATTTATGGACGGCCTTCAACAAGTAGTTATTATATATCGCAACTACTAATCAGTTCATTCCATCGAATTTCCATTATGTGCCATTCTTTAACTAGATGCTTTTCTAATTAGTCTATAATACATTGGAATTTTTCGTTAAAGTCTATCTGTACCGTAATATGTGGCAGTACGAGAAATTAACTCACAAGGTTGCGCTGACACTTAAAGTGCCCAGACTTACAGTTTCAGTTTCAGTTTGGAAAGGACAGGTGGTTTGATGGCCTGTATCGGTCTTGGCAATTGTGTTCTCTCAGTTGATCCAACTTTCTTTTGAAAGAATCTACGTATGGAGCTTCAACCACGTGTTGAGGTAATGAATTCCACCCGTTGATGATCCGGTCGGAAAGTCGATAATCAGCTGACAAGTAATTTGTTCTGGGCTTGTGAACTTTTTTGGAGTGCCGTCGTAAATTCTCTGTTTTGGAAGGCAAGAAAAATGAGGGTATATCAGGTGCAAATTTATCACTAAGCAATTTGAAAACTGTAATCAAGTCGCCTCTAGTTCTACGATATGACAAAGGGAATAGGTTTAGCTTGGTCAGTCGAGCATCATACGGAAGCTTCGCTATTCCGGGAATCAGCTTAGTTGCTGTTCTCTGGACCTTTTCCAAAAGCTCACTGTCTTTTTTAAGCAGGGGCTGTCCGCTTGTATGCAGTACTCAAGTTTAGGATGTACGAACACTGTATACAAAGTCAAAAACGTTTGAGCGTCGACATAAGTAAAAGCCCTACGTATTGACCATAAAGTTCTTAAAGCTTTGGCGGCTATTGCACGGCAGTGTGCAGTAGTCTCCAGATCTTGGCTAACGATGACTCCTAAGTCATTATGTGTCTGGACAACAGGTAGCTCAGTGTTATTCATCGTGTATGTATCTGAACCTTGATGACCGATATGCATCACAACACACTTGGAAGTATTTATCGGCAGCTGCCATGTATGAGACCATTCGGATAATTTCTTCAGGCCATTTTGGAGTTCTAAGCTATCACCCTTACATCGTATCGTTCTCCATATCTTGACATCGTCAGCATATAGCAAGACCGATGATGATGATAATAAGCGAGGAAGGTCATTTACATACAAGAGGAATAGCACTGGCCCCAAAACTGTACCCTGGGGCACTCCACTAAGCACAGTTTCCCAGCTAGATAATTTTGAGTTAACCCATACTCTTTGTTGGCGCCCAACAAGGAAGTCTTCTATCCACGTCAATAGATTGCCTCCGATTCCGACATTTTTAGCTTATATAACAGCCGGTTGTGCGGAACCTTGTCAAAAGCTTTGCTGAAATCATTGTAAGCCATATCTACAGGTGACTTTTGGTCCTCAAAAGCGCACCAGCTTTCTCGAGTGACTAATAAGTTAGTGAGACAAGAATAACCTATTCTGAAACCGTGCTGTTTCTCCGAGAGGATTCGGTTTACATCGAGGTATTTAAACAGCTCTTTCCGAATAATCTTTTCTAAGATTTTAACAACCACACTAGTTAGGCCAAGGGGTCGGTACTTCTTAGGTTTATGTTTTGAAGACAGGCCTTACTATAGCGTTCTTCCAGTCCTTTGGTAAACGACCCTGCGTAACGGATAGCTTAAAGCATATACTGAAAGGGTTCGCAACGAAGTTAGATAATTCCTTTAGTAGCCTAGGATGAAATTCATTGGGCCCCATGGATTTACCTATGTCAAGCTTATTTAGCAGATCAAAGACATCGAGTTCATTTACGGTCACGCTATCCAGTGTATGTGTGTGGCGGTTTGTATGCGCTGACGGGAAGAGTGCTTCTATGGTATATACATTGCTAAAGTAGTTTGAGAACACTTTAGCCTTACCAAAGTTATCTTCCACTAATGATGCGGCAGTACTGTCTCCCCATAGTGCAGGAATATTTCCTCTTCTTTTATCCTTAGGTTTATATAGGAATACAGGCGTTTAGAACATTCTATGGATTCCCTAACAATTTTTTGTTCGTACAGCATTCTAGACATGCGGAGGGTCGAGGCACAGGTATTCCTAGCTTTTTGATACTGAGATTTTGTCTCATCAGTCCCCAGTAACCTAAATCTATCACACATTTTTCTTCTTTTAAGGAGAAGGATGCGGACCTCCCTATTGAACCATGGTGGGGAGTTTCTCGGCTCCCTTGGTATAGTCCAAGGAATGTGGGGTGCGGTAACTTTTAAGCATAAATTTCGGAATGCATCCCAAGCCGTTTCAATTGAGGACTCTGGGTCTATTGTCCAATCTACTAATGATTCCGAGTGAATGACATCTGGTATGCTTGCTTTTCAGACGTTAGATCTGGATTGAGTTGACGCTTGCTCGTGATTGACAGTTATATGGAAGTCAAAAGTTAAAACTGCATGACCACTTTTGCCTAGGGGTGGCATGTAAAGGAGGTTCGCAACGTCATCCTCATAGTGAGTTAATATAAGATCTAGTAAGGATGATTCAGTGTCCCGTTCGTACCTAGTTGCTTCTTTCACATGTTGCACTAGGGCACATGTTATAACCGCATCAACTAGTTCCTGCTCGAAGGAATTATCTGATGGTTCGGTTCGCAGATTTCCCCAGTCTACCATAGGTGCATTAAAGTCCCCTAGGATTAGACATCGACCACTTCGAGACCAATTTTTGAGCATGTTTAGCAGGACATCATTTACCTTACAGCTTGGACTGAGATAGACCAAACCAATCAGCAGCTCTTGCCCCTTGAATTTCAAGCGGCAACTAACCAATTTACACGTCCCACTATCATGGGATACACTATCAATAATGACAAACGGGATAGCATTCCTAATGAATAGAGCTACTCCGCCTCCTTTACGCTTATGTATTCTGTCAGTCCTTACTAAAGTAAAACCCTCAAAATCGAGTTCTATATTATCTATAGACTGTGTCAGCCAGGTTTCTGTGATTGCGATTATGTCTGGCTTTGTCGAGTTAATCTGTTCACCTAGTTCCGATAGCTTATTGAGCAAGCTTCGGGCATTAGTGTAACAGATTTCATTTCTATTGCAAAATCGGGCAATGATTCCAATGTCTTTGTCACGAGCTTGTATAAACCGACTAATTTTTCACGCTATCCTCTTATTATCTTCACAAAATTGATTCAGTTTGATAGCTATTTATGGATTTGTACGTCTTGTAGTTTGAGGGAGTGCGATAATCTCAAGGCAGTAGAAATTCTGGAAGTGATAATTCGATTTCTGATCAGAATCAATCGTTTTCTCTCTGTAGAAAACGATTGATTCAAGAATAATGATTAAGACAATTAATTTGTAATGTGTAAGAGTATGAAGTTGAAAGAATTTAATGGAAAATAGAAATGATAACGAGGGATATAAGAAGTGGTTACTGAAATGCTGTAATGATATCTCAAGCATTCGGGGTTTAAAATGAAGCGAAGGGGTTCGAACGTATATTTAACAAAATATCGATGTATTGAAAAGTGATTAATCTTAGCCATCTAGTGGTTGGAGATGTGTAGCACGGCGTTCCCACACGTTATCTGATGCGGATGAGTAACGGAACACTGTAGCGGTAGATAAATCCCCAAAATTAATAGCTCTGTAAGTTTTCGACATTGGATGCTGACCACAGTTTTAGTGGACTCATCTAGCTGAAGGCGCTCGGTCAAGCATCCGCACCAGATCACGTGGGGGAACGCCGTGCTCAACATCTACCGCAATCGCTAGCCAGATTAGTTCAAATGACGCTGGATATATTGATAGCTTATCAAATATATCTTCGATCTGCTCGCTTCTGTCTTTTGATTTTACTTGGTGGGTGCGCTTCGTATTAGAAGGTGTTACTGGTTAAAGCGTTGTCAAACTCCGAATGCCTGTGGCATCTTCAACACCTTCAGAGATGTGAGTCCAGTAAAACTAATGCGGTCAGTATCAGGTATTGAAGACCTACAAAACGATTGGTTTTGAGAATTATTCACCGACACAGGTGTAATGATAAACGTAGTAAGTTATAAGACTTGCATCGGACAAAGCTAATCATAGAGGAAGATTTTCGTCCATGAGTGAGTATGCGTTTATCAAGTTTCCTTTTAAATCTGTTCACTAGGGGGAATGTTATCACATCGGCTGTTTGAGCATTTAAGCTAGAAGCAACGCTTCACGAGAAAAGGTGAGAGGGTATATAAGCTGTCAGGATGCTCATATTGAGGTAAATTGACATAGTTAATATTTTGTATGTCACTACTCGAACACTTCTTAGTCTCTCGTAGCTCAACGAGAATGATCCTATGTGTTTAAGTCTGCCTTCGTTGGACTTAATCTTTAACCTCATCACTTACTTAATTGTCTCTTTTTGTACTTGGTTGAAGAGATTCATGTCTATTTTGAGGAGAGGTGATGCAAACAACCTAGTGTCGATTTCACCTAGTTTTCCAAGCATGAGGTGATGAATAGTGTTTGCGTTGGCTTCGTCCCTCATGTAGTTTGAGCTGGTTTCCAAGCTCTTCGTGGTTACAAACCCGATAACACGCTCTGAGGAAGCAATGTGGAGCTTATTTCCATGAAGAGTTTAAGTGCTTTGTGTCAAATGAATTAGGATGTAGATAACATGAGATTTTGTCAGATTATGTTTTAAATTATTGTCTACTGCTTATTCCTCTATTGTTGTACTGTCTTCTAGTAACTCAATCTAATTCTTTTCGACGTTTATGGACCTCCAGATCTTTACATTGTCTTCACATAACAGTATCACCCAGCCAACTTTATCTACTAAGTCTTTAATAAAGATAATGAACAGGAATGTACCTAAAATTGTCCTACGTGAAAATTCTGATGATAAGACCTTCCAAATCGCGTGCACTTTGTCTATTGTGGCATGAGACTTCCTATTCTCTAAGTAGTTTTGGAGCCATGATAGAAAAAGGACAATAAAATCCTATCAGAGATGCTGGTGTTACATCCTAGTTCTTGCTCTCTTTCGTTACTGAAGCACGGTAGATAAACTCACTTGTAACTTACGATAACAAATAACGATAGAATGAAACTCCCGTTCAGGCAATAAAGTTTATTTGCAAATTACAGGTAATTGACGCATATATCGTTTTAATCATAATTATAACAACTACAAAACAAACTTTCAAATTTTTAGGTCTTAAAAGCAAAACTTTCAAATGCCAAACCAGTTACAAGTGGAACCAAAATGTCTGAGCTCATAGATATTAATAAACAAGTTCAGAAGTTGAGCAAAGCAAATACATTCAGAACGTCGAGTGGATCTAGTAACTTGCCTAAAGTTCTGTGTTTGCAAGTTAAATGATGCATGTATATTGTAGTCAAAGCGACTAAGAAGATAGCAGATGATAAAGACAGCTAAAGCAATCTCAAACTGATTCACATATGTTGTGATTACGGCTGTTAGATTTGTTGTTGTGGTTGTCGACCAGCAAGGAGAAGAAGAATTTCGTACCCTTGGAAGTGATTAAATATTCCAGTATGGTAATGGGATAGTGAGAGACTCGGAAAACGATTCCTCACAAAGGCATTTAACAATCACTTACTTATGGAAATGGCAGAGAGAATGTTCATTGAATTGTAAGGACATCCATTGTTATTTGATTTTACCAGTGAGTGAAGTTGATATTTTGTCAACATCGTAATGAGGTTCCTACTTGTCATGTGTCTGCTTGTTTATTTTGACTTTTCTGTATTGCTTTTGCTCCTTTATTTCTGAATACAGCTAAAACTGGTCGTAAATCTGCCAACAACTGGACCCCATATACGTGAATGCATAGCAGAGTCTGTCGATTACCACCGTAGATAATCTGTGTCGAATGATCTGGAGCCTACTTGAGTTAGACAGAAATTGCCTGACCAATCAGCTAACGTCTAAGCAGCATCACATGGTTAGTACCTATCATGAATTACCGTTTCTTCGTATCCAGGTCTACTTTGGTGACTGTTCAACACAAACGGCGTTATTACAGAAATATATAAGAGCAGATACGAGGAACAAGGTGCGATAATTATCATACTAGCGATTCATATAGGTAATTAACTGATGCCAGTTGGCTGTCGAACTTGAGGGGAATTGGTAAAATGCTGGATATACAGTAGCCTGATTGCCTGATGGTTTGGTTAAGGCCGTGATGTTTTGACAACAGAACTGCCATTAACACATATTTTTGCGTTGCCTTTTTACATCTGTAGAATTATGGTCTACTATGCTATTGTCTCGTGGTAGGGCCCAATGCCACTACACATCCACGTCGTGAACCGTAAGAACTTTAAATTAATGATGAATAAATTTTCAGAGGTACATTTATACTGCAAAACTAACTGGATAGGGGTTTTTCTGCTTTTCAGTACAGGACATCTCAAAATCCTTGAAAGTTCATTATTCAGGTGTTTTTAGAACAGGTTTTCTACAATTTTATTATACAACTGAGTTAGTTTTATATGAAATAACGTCATCATAAAAACCGTATTGTTAACGCTAAATAAACAGCGCGATAAGTAACGATACTATAATAAGGTATTATGTTTTTGTATTCTTAGGTGCAATTTCAAATCATTTCCGCTATTCTGTTTTACTTTTGTGATAGAAATACATTAATAGTGAAGATATTAACTTTTAATGGATTTTTATCGTTATGTATCCACTTCAGATGGTAAAAGCCCTTACTGACCCATTTTAGTGACCCTGGATCTAACTCCAGGTAGATCGGACGAATGACGGTTAACAAAATATACATGTCCATGAATTTACGTCGCCAATCCTCATATACAATCATCGACGTAACCCGCATTAATGTATAACAGAATTAAATATATGAAATACGGGAATGAAGATTTAGACTCGTATATTTTGTACGCTCATTGATCTGAACAGACAATCAGTGGAACGAAGCGAGGGCAACAAAGAGGAGAGAGCAAAGCACAATGACGTGCAGTGGAGAGGGCATGTGAGCCGATTTGATTTAATCAAGCGTCAATCAATATTTATAGCCGGATAAAAACTGTTACGTCCGAACTGCCAGTATTTCGTTTGAACGAAGGACTGACAAACCAAAGTTTGTTTGAATAGACGAGGCTACGTTCCTCTATATATGGCGTACGATGCGTTTTTGAGATACTCATATTAAATTATATCAAAACACAAACTCTGTGCTCAATTTAAACGGTTCTAATTTAGGAAATAGAACAAATTATATCAAAACTCAAAATACCTGAAATAGTATACCCTGTGCTATACAGTCAAAGGATTCTGTAACGCAAAGTAGCGCGCTAATTAATAAAAGAAACAGTTAGTCCCAAAGGAACCGATACCTGAGAATCAATAAAAATATTCTCAGCAAGATGGGATCAAATATCTATCTGCAGGGATTCCAACAATCCTCCAAAGGTTAAAAGTTGAAGATGCCACAGGTATTCGGAGTTTGACAACGCTTTAACCAGTAACACCTTCTAATATGAAGCGCACCCACCAAGTAAAATCAAAAGACAGAAGTGAGCAGATCAAAGATATATTTGATAAGCTATCAATATATCGAGGGTCATTTGCACTATGCTGGCTAGCGATTGCGGTAGATGTTGAGCACGGCGTTCCCCCACGTGATCTGGTGCGGATGCTTGACCGAGCGCCTTCAGCTAGATGAGTCCACTAAAACTGTGGTCAGCATCCAATGTCGAAAACTTACAGAGCTATTTGATTTTGGGGAATTATTTACCGCTACACAGTCATACACTGAACCACGCCGTGACCTTGCGCTTAGTCAAACACGACCTTACTGTCAATAGCCCGGCAACATGCAATAGAAAATTAGGTGGCGAAAAAAGTCTTTAGTCAAAACACATAATAAAGGCTCAGACGAGAAAGACTGAAGAAAAGAAGGTGTGGTCAAACAATGTTGAAATACGCAACAGGGAGAAGATACAAGTAAATGACAGTACTGTTCAACAAAAACGCTGTGGGGGGATTTTCATCGTTCTCTTACCGTTACAAAAATAATCTACAGATATGTGATGAGTTGGGTAAGATGTTCACATGCATACTCTCATCTTAAAACGGAATAAATGAGGCATTAATCCACAAGGTCAATGTGTGGTTTTAAATTAACAATAATAATATATTTCTGCCAAGGCAGGTGCACGCCATTTTCAGATATGATGTACGAATTACAACATCAGTTTGCTTACAGTGTGCTTCCTAATTAGATTTGTGAAATAGATGAAATCAATTGAAGTAAATAACGGTACATGCGTGCAGATGTCTTAAAGCGTTAATAATTGCGTTTATACCTTAGTATTACACTGAGTACAGTTTTGAAAAGACTTTTTCACAGTGGCATCACGTCCACGTTGCACACCAGATCCAAGCTCGGCACAAGTGTGTTGGTATTCTGGTTATGCTACGTGTTTATGCAGTACAACGTTTTAAGATTATAGCTGTTGCAAAGTAGATCTGTGGAGCACTTACTGTGAACTATGACTTCGAAGAAACGAGTACGTCAAGTTTGCTCTAAGCGCCGAAAGCTCCATAGCTATACCCTGAGAGTGAGATTCTGAAAAGAAGCGGAACAGAGAAGTAGCAAGGCACTCACAAGCATGTCGTTCACATGAAGTCTCAACAACATACAGTATGCCTTTTTCGTAGCAATGGATGTACTCTCCTGCTATTACTTCGCGTTTCATTCTCCTAACTCGTCTATAATTTACGGATACAATTTTAGCTGAAGAAGCTTTGAGCTCATTTAAAATAGTTTGGGATGAACTCGGCACTTGAAATCGACGATACATTTAACTAAACGTTGCGTTATATGGTCGGTAATGGACCGATCAATATTAAACCATTGAGAACCCGGAAGCATCCACGATGTCGTATGTGGGGCTCGAACCCGACAATTTCTCATCGAAGACATCGGAAGATGGTTTCATGTCATTGTAGATTGTTTGAAGTTAGACATTAATATCGCTGGATGCTGGCTCAGCGCTTTAGAGGTTAAGCGTTCGTGTGCGAGACTGAACGTGCTGGGTTCGAATCTTACGTATGGGATTGAGAACGCTCACCACTGAGGAGCCCGATACTAGTAATCCTACAGTGCTTCCAGGTTTTCAAAAGTATTCGAACACTTGATATCATTTAGTATAGAGAACTAACCTCATTTTTCCCATAAACAAAAGTAGTCACCAACTTTTTCAATAGGTATCGTATTCATTTCAATATTAATGTTTGAATTATGGTATACAAAAATTGTGCGATATTGTCTTCCTGTTTGCTGACTGTTTGCTCTATAAGTGAACGATATTATTTTTTCAGGTTAAAAATAATTATCTCTTTTAATATCAAAGATTAATCAACTACAGTAATCGTTATATCCGGACGAAGAATAAGTATAATTGACCGCTAACCCTTAATCGTTCGTGCTCGTGACTAAGGATTCTAGGTTGTCATTCCAGTTACGGCATCGTGAATACGCACTGCTGAGGAGCACAAGGCGGCCTTCCAGTTCTTCCAGGTTTCCAGTGGTGGTCTCATTGAAACTTAACAATCTCCATAATTCTATACCTACAGTCAGTAAATGCTGCCTACTTACGAAACAATTTAAAATATAAGGTTGTGAATTAACGTTTGAACAAGTGCTTCGATCTTAATAATTAATTCTTCCAAGTCGAATTATCCCTTGTAGTAAAAAGAAAAGGTTCATACATATACATTCATAATATGAGTCAGGATAATGTTGTGAGCTAGGTTTATCACTCCACAGAGCCTTCGTTACCAACTGATATCAGTTACAATGCAAAGAAATGAGCATGAGGTATTAAGAATTAAACTGGAGATTTGAGTCAGGTTTACAGGTGCTAGTCATGGTTTTCAACACGAACTGACATCAGCTATAATGCGATACCTAGCCATCTTTCTGTTTACATGCTTGAAAAGTTAAGAGTTGAGATTTAGAGTCAGAGTAAAAATGGGAGGACATTATCTTGCTTCAACAAACACTATTGATTATACAATCAACCACATCAAGTACTTTAACACACAGTTTGCTTTAGGAGTAATTACTTTGTATAACTTAGCTCAGTCACAATCTCAAGTCCACTTTTTGGCTGTATTACAGATAATTTCATTGATTTCAAACACCCAAAGATACAAATACTGTCAGTTTTCACTCGGTTACTAATAACATACATGTTATTTGTCAATGCGCTCACATCTTCGCGCAAAATACATGTGGAGTTATCTTAATTCTGTTTGGTCAACTCAAAGTCGTAGTCATACGATATTTTTACCATTATTTCTTTGTGAAATGTTTCACTGGAGATGTTTTCTGTACGTAAATAAAAAGAAATGTCAATTTACGATCGAAACATCAGAGCGAAAGTTTATTCTTAATATATCCATTAGTGATTTGACGGCTTGAAGGGACAATAACACTCTTAGGTGAGTAGAAATTATTCACGAGGCATTTCGAAACCCGTGTGTTTCCTCAGCCTTACCTTCTTTAAATTTGATATTCATAAAAAGGGTTTTACATTGAAATATTGGTGATTTTTCAGATTGTTGTTTAGGGGTGAATTTGTTGTCGATGAATCTAGGTGAAT